AACAAAAAACCAAGGATAGCCAAAACAATCCTTTACAATAAAGAAACTTCCAGGGGCATCACCATCTGTGACTTCAAGCTCTACTATAAAGCTACAGAAATAAAAACAGCTTGGTATTGGCATAAAAACTATGGAATCGAATTGAAGACCCTTATACTAACTAATCCACACACCTATGAACACCTGATTTTTGACAAAAAAGCCAAAATTGTCCAATGGAAAAAGAAAGCATCTTCAACGAATGGTGCTGGCATAACTAGATGTCAACAAGTAGAAGAATGCAAATAGATCCATATCTATCCCTATGCACAAAACTCAAGTACAAGTGGATCAAAGACCTCAACACAAACCCAGTTATACTGAACCTGACAGAAGTCAAAGTGGGAAGTAGCCTTGAATGCATTGGCACAGGAGACCACTTCCTGAATAGAACACCAGCAGCACAACTTTGAATGCAACAATCAATAAATGGGACCTCTGGAAACTGAGAAACTTCTGTAAGGCAAAGAACACAGTCAACAAGACAAAATAACAGCCTACAGAATGGGAAAAGATGTTCACCAACCCCACATCTGACAGAGGGCTGATCTCCAAAATATATAAAGAACTCAAGAAACTAGACACAAAAATACCAAATAATCCCATTTTTTAAAATTGGGTACAGATCTAAACAGAGAATTCTCAACCAAAGAAACTCAAATGGCCAAAAGACACTTAAGGGATTGTTCAGCATCCTTAGCCATCAGGGAAATGTAAATCAAAATGACGCTGAGATACCATCTTACTCCTGTCACAATGGCTAAGATCAAAAACACTGATGACAGCTTATGCTGGAGAGGATGTGGGGTAAGGGGAACACTCCTCCCTTGCTGGTGGGAGTGCAAACTTGTACAGCCACTTTGGAAATCAGTATGGCAGTTTCTCAGAAAATTGGGAATCAATCTACCTCAAGATCCAGCAATACCCTCTTGGGCCTATACCCAAAAGATGTACAATCATACCTGGAAACAACCTAGATGCCCCTCAACAGAAGAATGGGTAAAGAAAATGTGGTACATTTACACAATGGGGTATTACTCAGTGGCAAAAAAAAAAATGATTTCTTGAAATTTACAGACAAATGGATGGAACTAGAAAAAACTATCCTGAATGAGGTAACCAAGACCCAGAAAGACAAACGTGCTGTGTATTCACTCATAAGTGGATATTAGATGTAAAGCAAAGAATAACCAGACTACAATCCACAACCCCAGAAAATCTAGGTAAAAATGGGGACCCAAAGAGGGACACACATGGAGGGCCCCAGAAAGGGAAGTTAAGATTTCCTGGATAAACTGGAAGGGGTGTAGAAGGGAGGGGATGGGGGATGGGAACATGAGGGATCTAAAAGACTGAGTTTGGGGAGGGATGGGGGAAAGCAATGAAAGAGATATCTTTGCTTGTTTGTTTGTTTTTCAAGACAGAGTTTTTCTGTGTAGCTTTGGAGCCTCTCCTGGCACTCACTCTGTAGACCAGTCAGGCCTGGAACTCACGGAGATCCATCCTGCCTCTGCCTCCCAAGTGCTGGGATTAAAGGCGTGCACCACCTCTGCTGGGTAAAAGAGATATTTTGATAGAGGGTGTCATTACAGGGTTAGGGAGAAACCTGGTGCTAGAGAAATTCCTAGGAATCCACAAGGATGACCACATCTAAGACTCCTGGCAAAGTGGAGAGGGTGTCTGAACAGGTCTTCCCCTTTTATCAGATTAGTGACTACCCTAATTGTCATGACAGAACCTACATCCACTAACTGATGGAAGCAGATGTGTCAAGCAATGGGCTGAGCTCCTATAGGTCAGTTGAAGAGAAGGAGAAGAGATCATATTAACAAGGGGATCAAGAGCATGAAGGGGAAACCCACAGAGACAGCTGACCTAAGCTAGTGGGAATTCACTGACTCTGGACTGACAGCTGAGTAACCTACATGGGACTGAGTCAGACCCTCTGAATGTGGGTGACAGTTATGTGGCTTGATCTGTTGGGGCTAGGGGCTGGGGGCTGGCAGTGACACCAGGACCTATCCCAGGTGCATAAGCTTGCATTTTGGAGCCCATTCCCTATGGTGGGATACCTTGATCAGCCTTGGTACAGTGGGGAGGGGCTTGGTCCTGCCTCAACTTTGTTGACTCCCCAAAGAAGGCCTTACCCTCTCTGAGGAGTGGATGGGGGTGGGAAGTGGAGGACTCAGGGAGGTAGGGGAAGGGGAGGGAGGAGGAACTAGGGCAGGCATGTAAAATGAAAAATAATTTTTTAAGTAAAAAAAAAACTTAAAAGATACCTTGTTACAGGCCTACAGCAATTGTGTTTACATAAAGCAGCCATGGGAAGGGCCTTGCATGACATGTCTGTGCATTTTAATGTGTGTGTGTGTGTGTGTGTAACATCAAATTCCTAAGCACTAATGTTGATCTTAACTGGCAGAGATACAGCTAGGAGAAGACTTCTTCCTTTAACATTTAAGAATGAATAGTTGCAACAGGGAGGGAAGCTGGCCCTGGATCAGAGGCTCTTAAGAGTAGGAGCAATGGGAACAGTGTGGGAAGCCTCTTCCTCTCCTACCCCTTTTCCTGCTTCACTCCTTGAGATAGCAAAAGCTTTTTGCATTCAAGAATGACAGCCATTCTACATTCAGCCACAGTTTTACACCTCCCTCATGCAGTCTCTGCTTGAGTCTCCTTCTGAAGTATTTCATGTGGCTCTTATTGGCTGCTTAGAACCCTTTGCCCACAGCTGCTGGTTTTAACACTAGTCTGAAGAGACACGGCCTGAGCCAGAGCCTTTAGCAGCTGTGTGCCTTGTGCCAATGGGAAGTCCACCTATGAGCACGGGAGGGTACCTTTCAGCATTGTCAACTGGCTGGTATGGCTCCCGAAGTACTGTTGTGTGCTTCCCTGTGGTGACACACAAGCCCAGCTTTTGTAACAGGACAGAAAGATCTAACTCTGCTAACTTGAAGCATACTAGAGTACTGCTCCTACAAGCAGAATGGGGGGAGCCAACAGAGCCACCCATTGCTCTATGAGGACACAGGGCCAGGGGGACCTGGATGAGCCCTTCTCCTATCTAAAATCTTCAGTCAATACCTCAGCCTCCTCCTTCTACTCCTTATGGCCAAAGACAGTCATGGAGAAAGGCATAAACCTTCAGGGGTCAGCTTGAACTCACATTTTTCTTCTGGCACACATGGGTCACCCTCAGGTTGCTCTGCCTACTTACTTTTTGAAGATGACTGTCCCTATATTTTGGGGGCCCACAGGTTCAAGAATTCAGGCTGAGGAGTGAGAGCCTCCCGGGAAGATCCTAGAAAATGGCAAGGGGTATCAGGTGGAAAGAGTCAGGGAGGCCTCCTCTATCTCTCACTTGTGTTCAGCTGACCTGGATTGTGGGTCTTAAGCAGCACATATTCTGGCATAACCTGCAGAGATACCATATAAAAAAGAAGCAGTGCTCACAAGCCCTACACATGGGTAGGGTGGCTCTCCTTACCCCATCTCAGACATCTAATGAATGCCAAGATTGGAGACAGCATGGAGAGTGCATATGAGATCCAGAGAATGTTCTGGGTGGAAGAGCTGCCTGCCAACTCTCTAGGTGGTAAGGAAGGTGACACTGTGGGCCCCCCAGCTAAAGAAGTTTCCTGCTAAGGAAACTTCAGGTCTAGAGGGGGAATCTTTATGAGCCAAGAGGCAGAGAGGATAGCTCCTGATGTGGCCTGGCCTGGTTCACCACCTCTGTGTCCAAGGTCACATCACTTCTCTGCTCTGTGTTTTCACCAACACCAAATCCATTCCCAGTGCTGTTGGTTCACACCAAAACACCTCAGATGGAACTTAAGGACATTATCCAATTAGATGTTCACCTGAAAGAAGTAGAATTTAGGCACATTAGCCAGCTTAAGTACATTTGGTTTGGCTCACAATCTAATGTTGCCATTGCAGACGGTATTTAATGAACCACCTTAAAAAGTACTTAGTAGCTGGGCGTTGGTGGCACACGCCTTTAATCCCAGCACTCGGGAGGCAGAGGCAGGCAGATCTCTGTGAGTTCGAGGCCAGCCTGGTCTACAAGAGCTAGTTCCAGGACAGCCTCCAAAGCCACAGAGAAACCTTGTCTCAAAAAACCAAAAAAAAAAAAAAGGACTTAGTAATCGTTAGTATAACTCTTACTGAGGCTTGCAGGAACCTCTGCAGGATGTACAGCTAATCCTTGTCCTTTTTTCAGTGAAGATGCAAAACTTTAGTAAGCAGAAATGTTATTTCCAAAGTTTCTGCTGGCACTTGTATTACGGTAGAAGAGCTGGTCCCCCGTCTCTGTCCCAGACAGACTACCCCTCTGCCAAGGGTCTTCTTAAACTCTGACCGCGGGTCGGGCAACACAGTGTGAAAGAGCATGTTTGAAGGTCGTGCTGTGCCCTGAGGTTCCATTCTCTTAAGTGGCAACCACAAAAGCTTTTATTTTGCTTCTGAAACGCTTGGGTATCTACCTGTTCACTGCCTGGAATTCTACGAGATGGACCAAGTTCTACTCAGTAGACCGCGGTTTGATGAAAGGAAACTTTTGTGAAAATGTGAGACTTTTGCACCCAGCCCGTATCTCCAACCACAGGGTGTGGGCTTAAGGAAGCCTCTCTGAGAAGAGTCCTGGAGGGAAATGGGAGGGGCACCCCAGGGTCTGAGCAGGAGGGAACCTCAGGAGGGAAGGCACCAGGAGGGAGTGGGGGAAGGTGAACCGAAGTGGCAGTGGACGCGAATGCCCGGGGCACTTAGCAGCTGCTACCACACTGCACCCAATGGTGCTGTCCTGGGGAGGGTCCAGAGCAGGGTGAGGAGGTTGCACCCAGCCGGGGACTGTAGCCTGGATGAAACTGCCTCACAGAAAGTTTCGGGTGCAGCCCATGCTCCGCCCCCTTCTTGACCCGCCCCTTGGGTCCGCCCCTTGAGTGTTGGCCCCGCCCATCAAGTTCACCATACTGCGCAGGCGCTGCGCGGGCGTCTCGTTTGAAAACATGGCGCCAGGTCAGCGGTTGGTTCTGTGCGAGGAGACTGTCCGGGAGCGCAGCGGCCTGGGGTCCCACCGGGACCTGGGTGCGTGTGGGACCGACACCCAGGGCTCAGGGTTTCCCCCGGGAGGCCTGCCTGGTCTGATAGTTCTGCCTCACTGTGGATGACGCTTCGCCGTTACGGTTTTGGCCGGTTATGGGGAGGGGGAGGGCGTGGCTGTAGACCCGGCCTGTTTTTACGTCACATGTGGTGCGGTGACCCGGCTGAAACAACGCCTGACTTCTGCAGCAGCTTCCTTTTCTCTGTCTTCTTGGGTTCCTACGTGGTGTTTCGTTGAGGGTTTTGTGTTTGTGTTGATGAGGAATGCAGGTCTCTTTTTATATGGTTTGGACATCAGGGCCTCATGTTTTGTTCAAGAGGTAATGTAGAATGTGTGTTGATTTTTGACTCCCCCGCCCCATGGACTTTTCCAGTGAAACCATGCAGGCCTAGATTTTTCCATTGTTGAATATTTTAAGTTATTCGATTTTCAAAATTACACTGATTCCACCTGTGTGAATTTTTGTTAATTTTTTTCTTTTTTTACTAAATTTATGTTTTTTTCTTAGTTGTCAAGCATATGTCTATAGCATTCTCTTACTGGCTTACTAATGCTTATGGGATCTGTAAGGATATCCCCATTTTCATGAATGATACTGGTAATCTGGTTTTGTTTTTCAGTCATTTTGGAGATTTATGATTGTTATTGATCATTTCAAAGACACCACCTTTGGGTTGGTTGATTTGTCTTCACTGTTTTTAAATTTTTCCCTTTTTCTACTTATTTTCTTTGTGCTTGCTTTGCACTTATTTTCCTCTTTGGACTCTAGAAATAAAACCTTATATGGATTAAAGCTTGTTTTGTAATTTAAATATTTTAATCTATAAATTTCTCTTTAAGTTCACCATCACTTAACTGCATACACATTTGTTAGTATTGTATTTCCCTCCTGTTTGGAATATTACTAAAGATACAACCTAGGGCCTTGCATATGGTAAGCAAATGCTCTATCGTGGAACTTCACCCAAACCTTTTATAATTTTCCAAGTGTGGTATTAAGCCAGTATGACCTTGATCTTCATATTTAGCCCAAGCTGGCCTTGGATTTTTAGTCAGATTCTCAAGTAGATAGGATTACAGGCAATTGCACAATGACTGGCTCTGATTTTTATTGATTGCAATATGCTTTTCAAATATTCCTTTAGATATCTTCTTAGATCTATGAATTACATAAGAATTGCTCACTTTTTTATTACTTACTCTAGAAATTTGTTTCTTAAAAAAAATCTCGTGTTTGGAAGTTTTCTTGTTATTTTCAGTTGTTTCTTATGGTCAGAGAAATATACTCTGTATGATTTTAATTTTCTTAAATCTGTAGAGATTCTTTAATGGCCCAGCGTCTGGTTTCTTTTGGAGAGTGTTCCAAGGACACTTGAAAAGTTTGTTGTCGAATCGAATGTGAGTGTTGGGTTGATCTTCTTGGCTGATAGTGTTCAGTTAAGTCAGAGGATTTTCTGTCTAGTGATTTTGTAATTTACCAAGAGGGTATATTAGTTTTTTTTTTTCATTCCCTGTATTAAATGCCTGACAAGAAGCAACTTAAGAGAAAAGGTTTCTTTTGACTCACACTTGGAGGAGATGAAGTCAAGGTGAGGAAGGCATAGTGGCTAGATGTTCACATTGCATTTGCAGTTAGGAGGCAGACAGGGATGAATGCCAGTCCTTAGCCTACTTTCTCCATTTATTTATTATTTACTTACTCATTCATTCGCTGATTCTTTGGGAGACAAGGCTCTCTACATAGCCCTGGCTGTCCTGGAGGTTGCTAAGAAGTGGTGGTGCATACCTGTAATCCTGGCACTAAGGCAAGAAGATCTAGCATTCCAGCCTATCCTTGGCTGCCTAGATTTGTCTCAAAAACAAAAAATGAGGAACATTACTGAAGACTCTATTCCAGGCTGCTGGGATGGTCATAGCCCTGCTGTAGTAGGATTTTGCAGTGTGAGGGAAGAAGATTCTGTTCCCAGTACGATGTGGGCGAGTAGATGTTTCAGCTGACAAGCAGGGGTCCATACATGGGATATTACTAAGGAAAAAAGGGAGCAGAACCTTGCTGGCACTGGGGGGTGATGAAGGGTAAGTGATATGATGCAGGATCGAGGTGAGCAGACACTGAGGGCAGGGAATTCTTGCTGAAATGACTGACCAGAGTTCTGTACTAACCTTTGATTTATAAGAAGTGTACTGATTGGCCATGATAGACTGTAAGCCTAATTACACTTTTGTCAAGAGGAGTGTCTGTCAGTATCTGTAAACTTCTAAAATAATCCCCCCTATTGAATTTCTTTTACACTATTTTCAATTTTTAAAAGGATTAAAATCTTACAATTTTCTGTTCTTAGCTGAGCTTCGGTCTTTATCTATTCCTGGAACATACCAAGAGAAGATTACTCACCTGGGGAACTCTCTGATGCATTTGACAGCGCTAAAATCCTTAGATCTCTCACGTAACTCCTTGGTTAGTCTTGAGGTGCGTTTTAGGCTTGTTAAAATTTATCACTATCGGTATCAGAGGAACATGTTTTAATGCTTAAAAAAATGCAGCATGTTTTGAAGCTACACAAAGAATGTGTATAAACTGTACATTTGGAATGATGGTGTTTTATTGTCACTGTTCATCTAAAGCTAAGTGTCTTATCCATCCCGTTATATCTTTAAACTACTTTGAAGACCAGAGTAACAGATTTCTAAAGGAGATGGATTATCTTTAAGTGGAATGAAACAAGATCCCAAAGACTAAAGTGTGCGTGCCCATCCCTCTCCGTCCTTTCATCTGCTGTGTTTCCTCTTTCTGTATTTTATATCTATTCATGGCCTGGTGTTGGCCTTCAACCCTCAGTGGCAGTGTGTGAATTTGAGGCTCATTGCAGGTACCCAGTCATGATGAGAAAATAAAGAGACCTCAAAGTGACACAAGTAGAAAGTTTGTATAAATACTACTTGTGGCTCAATTTGGAGAAGAAGTCCTTGCCTTGAAAGAAACACATGTTCACTGCCTAGGAAGACGGTATACTTAGTAGAGCCCATTCTTGACATTGGTTTCAGTGTCTGACTCAGGTACAGGCTCCAGCTTCAGATAAACCAAGGGTTGGCTCCTCTCTCAAACCTAAACATTAGCCTCCTGATCTAGGTGTGTGCAGAGTAAATGAAATTGTGTAAATTGTATAGTTTGATCATACTGGGCACTCGAGAGAGAGTAGCTGTGCTTATTACTGTTGAGACTCACAGACCTGTCTGTATTCAGACACCCCATATGGTTGCTGTCCTATATGGAACACAGAACTTCACAAATGAGAACATGTTGCATTGTTATTTTTTCTAGTAATAGTATGTGTCCATTATAAGTGTGTTTAAATTGGTTAGCTCCTACCAATGTTTTATTTCTCTTGATGCACTAATTGAGACATTTTCTTATGTAACAGGGCATTCAGCATCTGGTCTTGTTGGAGAGTCTCAATCTCTACTACAACTGTATTTCTTCATTAGCAGAAGTATTTAGGCTCCACTCCCTAACAGAGCTCCAGGATGTGGACTTCCGGCTTAACCCAGTTGTGAAGAATGAGTCTGACTATCGCCTATTTGTCGTGCACATGCTCCCCAAGCTCCGACAGCTAGGTAGGTGGAGGAGCCATTGTACTAACATCCTCATGCAGTGGAGTCATTTTTGTACTCCCTGATGGAAACAGAAGCTGTGTTTTTGCACTGGTGGTCTAAATTCCCTATTAGCTCTGGAATATCCTTCATCCTCACTGGGTCAGTCTTTCTAGCCAGCCAGCCCAGCCTAATCGCCAAGTTCCAGGCATAGTGAGAGGCCTTACCTCAAAAAACAAGATGGATAGCACCTGAGGAAAGACACCAAGGGCAGTTTACATTTGACACCCACATGCACTAGCAAACACATGCGTTTATACAGCACACACACACCAACAACAACAACAACAGCAAAATGCCAAGTTTTCAGTTCATTCCTGAGTTAATATCTTTATGTTCCCAGGATAGTTTCTTGTAGGACAAGGAGCTTGTAAACATTTCTTGGCATTTCTGTTGTTATTGGTGCCAGACCTCCTATCATAGTGGTCATTGAAACCTTGCCATTCTGAGCCCAGAGGGTCATCAAAGTAATAGGACCACTGGATGTCTATTAGAAATATTAGAAAAATAGACCACTTTTCCTTCATGGTAAATACCTGCAAGCAAAGATGCCATTTAAAGTCTTTTGGAAAGAGTAAAGTTTAGATGCCAATGGGTAAAATGAGTAAAGATACTTGCTACCAAGTCTGACCTGATTGAATTCCCAGTAACCACATGGTGGAAGAGAGAACTGACTGCTGCAACTTGTTCTTTGATCTCTACATATGCATGCACTGTGACACATGTGCACCCGCACTCACACATGCAAATATATTCATAAATTAGATGTGATTTTTAAAAATAGATGCTGCTCTTCAGTTAACAGTAGCAAAAAGCGATTGATGTGTCTTGAGTGTCTACAAGCTTCTCTGGGCAATTCTGCCTAGCCCTTGTATATAGACAGGAATGGGTTGGCCAGATCTGAGTCAGCCTCGCTTTTATGCATAAATGCAGGAGAAACATTGTCACTCAGCCTTCCCATAGATGGTCTACATGCCAGCCTTGCACAGCCATTCCTCAGCCCTGGGAGATGGGCACTATATAAGCCCAGTGCTACCTGTGGGTTTATCAGTAAGTAGGCCAAGAGATTTCACAAGTGAACGTCAGACTGAACTCATCCATACAGACCATAGTCTTGAGTGCTAGAATGTTTGGATCACAAACTGATCTTTCATGTGTAAATGGTGTTCTGATACTTTAAATTCCCTTTCTCTACATCTTGGAGATGTTTCTAGAGATAGCAGAATTTAGCAGCATGAAAGCACATGTTCCTTTTGTTTCATCCTTCTGTAACAGTGTAAATTAGTGGGGATGCATTAGTCCTTGAGAAGCAGTCCTCTCTCTGGTCATAAATTACCTGTTTAGTAACTCAGTTGGAGCTATTTTCTTCAATCCTCTGAAGGTGACCTGAGGACCTGACATAATAGCCCTGAGTAAATGAGCTAGACTCTCCTAGCCCAGCAGGTTTCATTTCCACAGGAGCTCAGCTCCTAGGGTAGAATGGGCCAGTAGCAGTGATGGGCAGACTTGTCTTGTTTGTAGCTGGTAGTCCATTGCCCCTATATGTGTCTCTAGCCTCAAAGTGTAGTTGTTGGTCAAAGGCTAGAGGGTGCAGAGTACCTACACCTTCTGTGTCTTGACCCAGAGAGCCCAGCTCCAGCACATTGTGAATGCCGACACTAATGTTGCAGTCCTTATGTAGAAACCCCATGTCCTACATACAGTTCAGTTTTTTGTTTTTTGTTTTGTTTTGTTTTTTATCGAAACAGGGTTTCTCTGTATTGCTTTGGAACCTGTCCTGGAACTTGTTCTGTAGACCAGGCTGGCCTCAAACTCACAGAGATGCACCTGCCTCTGCCTCCCAAGTGCTGGGATTAAAGATGTGCACCACCAATGCCCAGCTCACAGTTCAGTTTTGATGAAAGCACAAGTGTATACTTTAGACCTCCTGGGGGCATGCATACCATTAGTCCACAAGTGCTGAGCAGATGTCCTAAGTGCCCAGAGCATACTGTTTAGTTAAAACATACTTGGAATTTCTATGTTTAATTTGAAGATAGTTGGGAGGGATAAGTGCTTATGTTCTATTCTTTATTTGACTGTTTAATTTATAAACAGTTGAGTTTGGCTTTGTTCTTAGAAGCATTACAACTATGAGTAATATTGAGATTCTTCAGTTTTAAATCACTGCCTTCCCATTGCCCAAAAAGTTTAGACTCAGAGTCATAAAGAGTTTATATGGAGAAAGAATGTAAGATGTATCTTCATACACAGCAAAGGGATGTTACTGAATCAGAGTCATTGCCCTGGATCAGCAGCTGCTGGTAGAGGATCTTCTCAGTCCTATGCAGGGCCTGCAGAACGGCATGGTCCTCGTAGGTAGGAATTCTGGACAGGTTGTAGAGGAAGGAGCACAATTAGTAGCCTGGGGGGCTATAAGATGCATTAGGGTCAGGGAGGATGCTGCTGCAGGAAAGAATGTAGAGGGGGGTGAACTTGATTGGCTTTGGAAGTTTTACGTTTGAATTCTGGTGGAGTTGTCTGGGGTTTGTACTGTCTCTGAGGGGAAAGTAGATCTGTTTAGACACTTTCTACTACTCCTGAGAAGACACATGTAATTATATAACATTGTGGGTTTTTTCCTCACTTTATTATTTTCTACAATTTTGTGCCATAGGGTAAATAGTGTTTAGGAGATAGCATGGGAACTTAATCAAATTTGCAACATGAATACTGTGATAAAATGGGAAAGTTCCAACAGTGAGGGCCTCCTCACTCTCAGGTATTTATGTAAGGTTCCAGGAACTCTTGGTCAAAGTCTTCAGAAGCCTCAGATCTCTATTTGGGACATTTGGGATTTCTCCTCTGTCTCTGTGTTCCAGCATTGAGATTCTGAGGACTCAACTCACCCTCAGGAGCAAACTCACATAGTCTCAGTCTTCTTCATTGTGTTACAGAGTCATCTGTGCAGATCCTTTAGTTTGTTCATATGACAAGACTCATCCAGTGTCTGGCATGTACATGTTTAATAAACATTTAAGAAGCCTCTCTTAAATGTTTGTGCACCTCACATGTGTCCTGTTTTTGCAAGGGGCATCAGCCTCTGTTCCAGTAGTAGCTCGTGGACAGTGAGCTTTGAGAGCATAGGCTAGCCTGTTGGCATTGCCCTTGGCATTATTGGGAAGCCAAGTGTAGCCAGCAGAGCTCATCATTCCAGGATGATGCATGCCATTTGCTGAAGAGAGCTTGTGGTCTAAGTCAGCCCTGAAGCACCAAAGCCTTCCTGTATTGTGAGCTCCAGAGTGGGGGAACTAGGTATGTCCACTCTTCTGAAGTGCAAGGATTCACCTGCCCCTGTTGTTCTCTACAGTTGTTGGGAATTTTTTCTCTAGATGACCGTCCTGTGAGAGAGAGTGAGCGTAAGGCTTCTCAGCTTCATTTTGCATCAGAGGATTCACTGGACTCAAAGCAGAGCTTCTCAACCACTGTTACAGTTGGAAGGTATGGACTGATATGGTTCTGCTCAGAGGTGGAGTTCAGACGTGCCATCAGGCATGAATGTTTGTGTGCCAACTGCCCCTGAAGGACAGTATGCATAGTAGATGGGAGAAGTTCTCAGTGCTGACTGAGGCTCGAGTAGATGGTGGTGCAGGGTCTCTCTCTGTTTCTCCAGGTGTTCCTTCAATGCTACCAGCGCATTTCAAACTTGGTAGCTGCTATGTAGACAGCCATACCACAGAACATTGCATTTTGGATCTCTTCGTTTCTCTTGTGTCAGCTTTTTCCTTTATTTTGCTGTTCACATTACGGCACTAAGGAGAACATTAGCATACCATCTGCATGTCTTGACCTCAATCTATAGTTTATGGAGAAAATGTTTTCTTTTTGTTTTTAAATTTTATTTTGCGTTAATATGTGTATTGTCATATATGAAAGGAAAATATCTGTATGTAGTTATATATCACATATGTTAGGGTTTCTGTTGCTATGATGAAACACTATGTCCAAGGCAACTTGGGGAGGAAAAGTCCATCCCCAAGGGAAGTCAAGGCAAGAGCTCAAATAGAGCAGGAACTGGAGGCAGGAGCCAATGCAGAGGCCATGGAGGGTGCTTCTTACTGGCTCCCTCCTCAACCTGTTTTCTTATAGAACCAGGACCACCAGCCCAGGGCACCATCCACAATGGGCTGGGCCCTCTCCCACCAATCACTAATAAAGAAAATGCCCTACAGACCTGCCTACACCCTTGATTTTATGGAGGCATATTCTTAATTGAGGTGCCCTCCTTTCAGATGACTTTGTGTCAAGTTGATATAAAATTATCCAACACATATAGTTTAGGAAACTTCTGCAGTAGCAAATTTTCATATAGCTCCTCAAATGGCTTTTAGTGTTAGTTGTCCTGCCTCATATTCCCTCCTTTACCCTTCACTTCTATCACCAGGCCTGTTTAATTCTCCCATTCCAGTCTCCTCCCTATCTTTCCATAACAATATATTCCTTTTCCTCTTCCTTGGGAGATCCTCTCTTCCCTTCTAATCCCTTAATAGTTTCCTAAACTCTGTGATTATGTGGATTGTAACACACATATCAATATCAAGGGCTTACAAGCTAACATCCACATATAAGAGAAAGCAAACAGTATTTGTCTTTTGGGGTCTGGATTACTTTACTCAGGATAATTTTTTTCCCCAGCACTATCCATTTACCTGCAAATTTCATTTTCTTAACAGCTGAATAATATTCCATTGTGTTGGTGTGCCACATTTTCATTATTTATCAGTTAGTGGACATTTAGACTGTTTCCAGTTCCTGCCTATTATATAGAAGCAGCAATGACAATGATGAGCAGATATCTCTGTAGTAGGATGTAGAGTCTTTTGGGTGTACCCCAGAGTGGTATGACTATATCTTGAGGTAGATCTATTCCCAGCCACCACAGTAATTTCTATACTAGCTGTGTAAGCTTGCAGTCCCACCACTGGGCGTGTTAAGACACGTCTTCCTATAGGTAATGCCCCTTCTGACACTGCTAATGTTATAGGTGTAGACTTGAGTCACTGGGTACTCACCAGTGTACAAATTCTTATTTACTTATTTATTTATTTATTTTTGTTTGTGAGCCTAGCCTTTAATGGCTGAGCCATCTTTCCAGCCCTGTACAGATTCTTATACCCCAGTGCTAAGAATTATACCAGGACATGTGGTAAGAAATAGAGTTTAAGAAGGGGGAGTAGGCTCATGAGCAAGGAAAAGCATGCACTCTAAAAGAAGAGCCCCATGACTTCTTATCTGACATTTACATAGCATCCATCTCTACTAGAGTTTACTGTGGTGATATTTCATTTGTGCTCTAACAAATAAAGCTTGCCTGAAGATCAGAGGGTGGAGCTAGCCACTAGTTAACCAAAGAGGCCAGGCAATGGTGGCGCACACCTTTGATCCCAGCACTATAGAAGTGGAGACAGGAAGTGAACATGGCTGGACAGAGAGAGGAATATAAAACAGGAAGAGACAGGAGCTCAACCCTTTTCGCACTGAGGATTTTGTAGAGTTAAAAACTTTAGAGGCTGGCTGCTCTGCTTCTCTGATCCTGACTCCATGTTTTTATTATTAAGACCAATTAGAATTCAAGCCACATTTTACATCACCAGCCTTTCATGCATATGATGTATTTATTACATGAAGCCCAGGCAAGAAAGGATTTCTAGCCTTTCTCTGCAAATTTTCATCTTTTATATGTTAATCTTGATGTTTCAGTTATAGCCCTTTCTCTCTTGTCACATTCTCTACCGAACTCTGTGTCTGGGCTGCCCAATTTCCTTTTCACTGGGTTAAGGCAGTTTTCCTTTTTTTTTTTGTTTTTGAAGATATTCTCAATGTTTATCAATGGCAGTAGAAATCCATAAAAAAAGAAAAAGAAAACTAAACAAATTTCCAAATGACTAATATTCCATTGTGTCAATGTACCACATTTTCATTATTCTGACACTGCTCAAGTTACATGCCAATATTAATTGCCTATAACATCTGGTAGATAGGGCTGAGAAGTCAACAATATTTTCTTTGCAAATAATCATTAAAAATATAACTGATGAATCAGTCTCCATTAAAAGTACAATGTAAATTAATTAGTAAGGATCGAGGAACTTCCTATCACATATAACAAAATAGTCTTTAAAAATATCATGTAAAAATTGTTCGATTAGTTGCTCATTGGGTAAAGGTGGTTACTACAAAGACTGTCAGCTTGAGTTCCATCCCTGGAATGCACATGGTAGAAGGGAGAACAGATTCTTGAAAGTTGTTTTGTAATCTACACATGTATGCTATGAAAATACGTGCTCACACATACACACAAAATAAAATTGCTCAATTTCCTTTGTAGCATTTTGTATATAAAAATTTTAAAACAGCACATATTTCCTGTGACATATATAAATGTTAACATAGAAATGTCTTTCCTGTCGACTACCTGGTATTTCTTAGTTTCTACTCCTGGCTTGATTTCCCCCTCTTCCCTTCAGTGGGCAAATTTAGGCTGTTTGTCTCTTTATATTTGAAGTGGGTTTCTTTTAGACAATGTATAAGCACAATTTGTCAGAAACAACATGTTTATATCTTTCCATAATGTTAGAATTTATTGAATAACAATAAATTTACAAGATATAGCAGCAATTTGTGAAGTAGTCCCACTTTCCCAGGTAGGCTAGCCAAGGAAAACACAAATTCTTTTATTTACCCTTAATTACTAATATTAGCTATCAGGTCACACATCACACAGTAAATATATATCTGTGTGTGTGTGTGTGTGTGTGTGTGTGTGTGTGTGTGTTTCCCTTGTGTTTTGCTGGTATGATTTATCGATTGCCTGTGTTTTTGTGGGTATAACTAACTTCCTTTGGTTGGAATTTTTCTTCTAGTACCTTTGGACTAGATTTGTGGATAGGTATTGTTTAAATTTGGTTTTGACATGAAATATCTTGTTTTCTTCATCTGTGGTGATAGAAAATTTTGCTGGGTATAGTAGTCTGGGCTAGAACTTTCATTTTCATAGCTAATTCTAGTGGACAGTGGACTTCGATTTAATGCTGGGATAATATGATTGGTGGCAGCTCATGACTTTGCTATTGGTTGTCAGTTGTTCTGGGTGAGTACCTCTTTGAGGTTACTTCATAATAAGAGCCATCTTACCACTGACCTCTTCCCAAGGCATGTGTGAGGCTCTCCTGTGGGCTGTGGTATACATGGGCCTGCTGACACTGAAGACTTTTCTTTGCCCTTGCAGACCACCCCACTCCAGAACCAGATGTGCAGATGCTTCGGCTAAGAAATGCTTGGTTATGGATGCTGATGATGAAGCTGTCCTGAACCTCATTGCTGAGTGTGAGTGGGACCTAAGCAATCCTCCCGGGAGCACGAGCTCCAGCCAAAAGGAACATGAGGCTGACCTCCATTATGCCCAAGGTGCGCTGGGCAGCACAGTAAAGGCTCCATGGTTTAGGCAGGCTCTAGCCTCAGTGTGGACTTAGGATGCTTATATTATTGACTTTGAACGCTAGATTTTGAACTATGGAATTGCAAAAGGAAAAGCTAATGGATCTAAGTTGAGTCTAGTCATAATTACAGTTGTTTGAATTTCTTTTTTGTTGTTGTTGCTTTTGTTTTTTATTTTAATTAGAAAAATTATTTTACTTGTTAATCCCAGGCCCTCTCCCTCCCCTTCTCCACCCCTCCCCCCAACTAACACCCTACCTATCCCATACCCTATCTGCTCCCCAGGGAGGACCTTCCATAGGGGGTCTTCAAAAATATGTCTTTTCCTGAAGGGTTTTGATGCAGTGTTGGCCATTTTTGTATCTTCTCTTGAGATACTTTAAAGCCGGCCACCCTGTTGTTTAATGGCCTTATTTCTCTTTTTGGTGTTGAGTTATACAATTTACGTGTGGATTTTGGATCCAAGACCTTTTTCTCAATCCGTTGATTGATTGGTTGCCTTTTCACTTTTGTAACAATGCTTCAAAGAACAAATAAGTCCATTTAGTTATTTTTTTGTATAATAGAATGTGCTTTATTGTGTCCTAATATGAGCCTTTTCCCGCCTCATGCTATGGAAAGACTGACCAGATTTGCACACAGTCTACAATTGAAGTCAGTGCTGAGTGGTATGAAAGTACTGCATTACTGGTCAAGACCTCTCCTTGTAGTTGGTTTTGGGTCTGCCTGCCTTTCTTTCTTTCTCTCCTTTCTTCCTTCCTTCCTTCCTTCCTTCCTTCCTTCCTTCCTTCCTTTCCTTTCCTTTTGTTTGTTTTCTTCTTATTCTTTGTTCTTTTGGGGCCCACCACCCAGCTCCCAAATAATCACACAAAGATTTACTCTTATAAATGCCCAGCCTTAGCTTGACTTGTTACTAGCCAGCTTTTCTTAACTTAAGTTATCCCATCTACCTTTTGCCTCTGGGATTTTACCTTTTTCTGTTTCTATATATCTGTTCTTTACTTCTTACTCCATGGCTTGTTGTATAGTTGGGTGTCTGGCCCCTTTCTCCTCTCTCCTCCTTTTCTTGCTCCTCTTTCATGTTCTCCTTTTTATTCTCTCTGCCTGGCAGCCTCCCCCCCCCCCCATATCCCTCTCCTGGCTTGCTATTGGCCATTCAGCTCTTTATTAGACCAATCTGCTGGTGTTTTAGACAGGCAAAGTAATACAGCTTCACAGAGTTTAAACAAATACAACCTAAAAGAATACAACACATCTTTATTCCATAGCATAAACGAATGTAACACATCGTCATCTAATATTCCAAACATCTCCCACTTCTAGTTAGATTCTGAGTATCTGTTGAAAGAGTCATCATGTAATAACTCTGGACATTTGTTGAGGCAATTGACCTGCATCTGTTTCCTGATGTGTAAATCCTGTTTTCTCTACACTGCCACCCCATTTTGGTTACTTAGGACTGGGCTTTGTCACCCTTGAGCACTGCAGTTTTCCTGCTGTAAACTACCTGGAATTCACCGCAGTGTTGACTGCTATATTAACCTACTCAGTCTTCTTTGACTAACTTAATTGGTTCAAAGAAAGTATAGTTTATAGATTTCACATGCTCTTGCAAACTTAAAATGTAATTTTTAATGAAGTAAAACTTAAAATATTTTTAATAAAATAGAGTCCGGACATCTGTTAAGTCCTTTGTCCATCCAGCACCAATGTGGGGACTCAGTGAGGAGAGGTCACGAGAAGAAGAAAGGCACCTCCAGAGGGTGCTGTCCAGGTCATTCACCACAGGACCAGCTCTATGGGGAACTCACCCCACAGCACGGAGTGCCAGAGTCCTGCCATGTGCGTGTGCAGCACAGCCGCTTCACTCCATACCCAGGTAATCACTGAGACCTGCCAGGCCCTTCTAAATAGTTACATGTTGTTCACAGTGTTTGCTACAACTCTGAGATTTTTTTCCTGATATCTTTACACTATATCTAAATATAAATATATATACTAAATATGTATACTAAAACATATATATACACTAAACATAGATACTAAAATATCTCTGGAAAGGATTAAGGATTTAGCACATTGGAATTTATCATATACCCGTATTTTAGATTGAAAGTTTGTAAATTTCTTGGTATTTTCCTACTGTGCATACATGCTCTTACTCAGCCTCTCACATTTCTCCCTATCTCTATCTAGCCCCATAGGCACACATTTAGAAAAATAATACACAGGCCAAGCTCATTATAGTAGCTACATTTTTGATACCAAAGATGAGGAAAATTAAGTAAGTTAATTGAAAGTACTGTGAGCATCTGTAGTGTAAGAGTGTAAGTATGAAAACTTAATTGAAAGTACTGTGAGCATCTGTAGTGTAAGAGTGTAAGTATGAAACTCTGCCACATAGTGAGCCTGTCATCTTGAGGCCCCTTGTTTCGCTCACATCTGTGAGACTTCAGAAGTACAATGATCAGTTATGAGGCTGTCCAGAGTTGTGGGCTGTGATTAACCAGGGTAATGCTCCTGTGCAACACCTTCCCTGCTTTCATTGTTCTTCCCTAGACAAGAACATGTCTGCCCCTCCAAGAGGGGATTCGTGAGCAAGTACATGGGACGTCCATGTCATTTGGCCATCCTAGCCCATTTAATCTCTTGGAAATGCACATATGTGATGTTGTATGGAGAACTTTGTTGACACATCTATTCTGTTGAGCTGATGCAGAGCAAGTACTCGCAGATGTCTGCTACTTAACAAGGATGGATTCTGTCTACTTCATCCATGTTTTGTCACATTTGCTTCCTTGTGTGCCTCCCTCCTTCACCTGCTGCTTCTTCCTCTTGGATGTCTTTTTGTGTATGTGTATGCATAGATCCTCCTGTGTTTGTTGCATATGCCTGTGTTTGATGGACACACATTCACATTTGTGGATGTACTTTTGAAATTACAATAGCAGCTTCTATATTCCAAGAATTCAGTCTAATGAGGACTCTGCTCACTTTCTCTGTATTACAGACTCTGTGGATGTTGAGGACGGTAGTTCATCTTCTCAGAAGTCAACTTTGTCATCACAAAATATATTAAATCCTTTGCCTGTTCCTGAAAAGTACAGGAAGCGAAGGATGCCTGGTGGGAGATTCCAGTTGCCTTCAGACCGGGAGTGTCTGAGCTGCCTAGAGAGGCCTGATGGGTCCTCGGGCCTCGAGGACAGTCTGAGCAGACAGGATGGCTTGGAGGGCCACAGTCAGATGACCATGTCTCATCCTGAGGCTTTGGAGGCTGAAGATCGGACATCTCATGGCACAAATGACCCTAGAGTGGTAAGCAGCTTGGGCAGAGGGGTCGGCTGCTAGAGACATGGCTAATTTCCATTAAAGTGTGTTTTAGCAGCACAATTGTCTTGCTTGCCATGTCTTGTATTTCAGTACTAATTGCTTTTCAAACAGTTTCCTTGGTGCTTGACATCATGCCCCACTGGTCTAGTACTCTGGTTCTGAAAGACAAGCATAATAGCCGCATGGTAGGTGTGATTTTCCAGTATTCACTTTTGTCTCCAAAGTTGGAAACAGGCAGGCTGAATCATCAATGACTCTGTCATGAAGGGAGAATCCTGGAAATACATTTTATGGTTTCCGAAGGATTCATTCCTGCTGAGGGAGTTAAGAATTCTCATACCCTCAAGGACCTAGAGGATTCAGGAACTCCTTCATTTGGCTTAGAGGCTAGAGGGGTTCTGAGGTGATTGATTCTCTGATTGGTCCTAAGCTGGACCTGAGGCAAAAACAAGGGAAGCCTGTACCAGGCTTTTTCTTTTGGTCCACCATCCAGCTCCCAAATCATGACTTAGAAACTTCTCTCCTTCTTTTCAAGCCTAGATTTTTCTACCTATTTACTCTCTATCTGCCAGCCCTGCCTATCCTTTCTCTGCCTAGCTATTGGCTATTTAGCTCTTTATTAGACCAATCAGGTGTCTTAGGAAGACAAAGCAAAACAAATGCAACACATCTTTACATAGTTAAACACACATCCTTACATTGTTAAACAAATGCAGCATAAACAAATGTTAACACATCTTTTTTTTTTATGTAACACATCTTTGCCCAATTAATTAAAATAATATTCCACAATAGAAGCCGGCTATTTGGAGCCATAGTTAAGGTCACTCCTGGGATTTCTAGGCCATGTGAGAGACAGCAGTTAGGTGACTACAAAGGGTTAGTTCTGGGGGCTGTTTTCTTATGTGATGTGATTGTGTTGATTTGCGGCCTGTTTCTTGGGTTCTGGATTGAGGGAAAGAAGGAAAATGGGGGAGGTTAGTGCTATGCTGTCACAGCCTCATGAGGAGCTAGCTTCACAAACGGCTGTCTCCAAGGAAGATGTCTCTTGTTCTCAAGGTTGTGACCCTGCATGTGGGCTTCTGCCATTATGGAGACAAGCATGTTATACTCTTGGCATTTTGTGACAGAAACCTAGTTTCTGCAGTGAGCTGCCAGCTTAAAGCCAGTCTTATGATTGTGTCTTCATCATAGCTGTCTCCTAAACTCTGCTCAGCAGCAGTGCCTGAGCGGAAGCCTGCTCTGGAAGTGGCACTCCTGGAGGCACTCCTCGACCTGATAGACAGGTGCGCAAGTGGCTGTGGATCCCTGCATGGCAACGAGGCATTCCTTGGTGAGTCCTGGCAGCATTTATTGGTTTATGCTGCTCAACTGCTAGGTTTGGGGCTCTCAGTGTTTACACAACCTGGGGTCCCATGCTAGATAACAGACATCCTCTTGCCTCTTACCACTTCTGCTGCAGCATGCGTATTGCATGTTTGTTACATGTCCTACCTACTGTTGCTGCTTTTCTTGGTGGGTGGAATGCTTTGTTATTATGGGCTACCGCCTACCGTGCTGCAAATGCTGTGCCCACTGTTGGTCTCTAATTACTCTGTCTTCTTGTGGGCATTTGGAAGGCTGGGAAACTATCTGTTGTCTTATGATTTTCTATGTGCATCTGGTTGAGTACAGGGCCCTGGATTCACAAAGCTTCATGTATGTGATAGGAACCCAACATGATTGTCTTTCCTAGTGAGGACTTAGGTCTATTTGCTTCTGCAAACTGGAGATTCATACAGTTCCTCGTGCAGTGTTGTGCTCTGAGCCTAGGCAATTGCTGCTTTCTCCAGAGGCTTGGGATACAAGTGAGTGTCCTTTGGGAGCCCATCAGCACTGAGCTGCCTAAGCCACTGCCTGCCATGACTCCTATCTTAGTCAGGGTTACTATTGCTGTGATAAAACACCATGACCAAAACAACTCGGGGAGGAAAAGGTTTATTTGCTTACTCTTCCGCATCACAGTTTATTATCAAAGGAAGTCAAGATAGGAACTCAGAGTAGGAACCTGGAGAGAAGAGCTGATGCAGAGGCCATGGAGGGGTGCTGCTTATTGCCCTGCTCCTCATGACTTGCTTGGTCCGCTTTCTTACAGAACCAGGACCACCATCCCAGGAGTGCCCCCCCATGGCCTGGGCCCCCATTAATCACTAATTAAGAAAATGCCCTACAGGCTTGCCTATAGCCCTGTTTATAGGGCATTTTCTTAATTGAGGTTCTGTCAGGTGACTTGAGCTTGTGTCAGGTTGACTTACAGTAACCAACAGTGTCTGACCACTCCCCTCGGGGGTTGTGACCCTTTTAGTTATTCCTGGATCAGAAACCCTGGGAACTGCAGTAGTGGATCCTGGTGACTGTACATCTATTCTTTAATCAGGGCCAGTGTCTTGCTGCAGCAGAAGTGGTCCATGGTAGTGTAATGCTGTTGCCACCTTGGAGTTTTCAGGCCAAGCTACCATGCATTCACCGCATCTTCCTGATGTGGCTAACTTGTATTTTCAGCCTTCTCTAGAGGGTTGCCTTTTCTGTAAATTAAAAGCCATCGCCATTATTCTCATAGAGAAGCAAGCAAGGTGATTTCAAGGTACCAGTGTCATTTTTTTTTCCTGTGCTCTGCTTTCAGGTCACTATGTAGTAAGCATTTTTTGTTGTTGTTTTATATTCCATCCTTTATCTATGATTTGGTAACTGTATTTCCTTTTGTCTTCTAGCTCAGGCCAGGCATGTTTTGTCATCTCTTCAAGAGTTCACAGCATCTCCAGACAGTTCAGCACTTGAAAAGGAAGACATTAATTACCTGTCTCTTGAAAATAAGTCTCTGCAGAGCCGCCTTGCTGAGCAGCAGCAGCAGTATGCTGCTACAGTGAGCAAGGTGACAGCAGAACTCAACAGTTCAAGGAGGGAGCTGGTGAGCTGTGCTCTTTGCTGTTTGTATTTGTTCACGGGATAAGGGGAAGACAGGTCTGGCCCCTCAGAACAAGGGCATTACTGACTATTCTGCTCTGCAGCCACAGTTGGGCTCTTTCTTGCTGCTCCAGAACCAAGCAGTTTCCCCTATTAGCAGTTGTTGCCTCCAGGGCTCCACCTGACTGTTTCACACCCAGATCCCAGAAAACAGTGAACCTATGATGGTGTTGCCAAAATTCTGCATGGTGCTGTCTTCTCAGAGTCTGGATGGAAGAGATGGGGGAAGAAGAAATGAACCAGACTCGTTCTGTCCCTGGCATAGGCTTCTTGGTCCTGCTACATAAGGTTCCAGTTAGCTGGGTCATCTGTGGTCTTTGCTCTATTCTGCACCAACCAGGCAGCATTTGAAGGTTGTGTCTGAGTTTACAGGACTAACACCAGGTGTTACCCAGAAAGAACCATGCAAATATGATCCTGGCCTTTAAATTGATCGTTATGGGGTTACATTATGTTTAAAGTTTCGGGGTGCCCTCATTTTTTTTAAGTTTATGCTGATAGTTCTATCAAAGGCAGAATGGTTGAACCACAGAGCCACCTACCAGTGCACCCACCAGAGCAAGTACTAACCTTCTGCTTAGCTCTGTGGCTTTCTAGTACATAACCTCAAAATGAGCCATGGACCAACATGCTGTGGCCAACTTCTGAGATTGACTGAGATTAACTAAGCACAAATCAGTTGCCAAGAAGCGACACTCCGATGTGAAAGCCCAGTAGGTCAGAATCTTCTTCCAGGCTCCCTCACAGAAGATGGGCCTTTGTATGGGCTGAAGGAGTCTTTGTGATACCAAAAAGAGGATACCAGTCTGTCCCCTCTGCCAATGTATATTGGTTCCCCTACTGTCAAGTGAGCATCTAGAGACCATGTACACTCTAGGTCAGTGGGTTCCTGCAGCAGCTGCCTGGCTTATTAGTCACCTCATTTGTAAAGTAGATAAATACACCACAGTATTTCTGGGGGGAACGTTTAAAGTTGCCTGGCAAATAATATCTTGTTTTGAGGAAGATCTACATAAGAGATGACACTCAAAATCTCATTTTAGAGAAAACAAAAGTTAACTGACACAGATGGTCTCTGGTATTGAAAGCACTATAGCTCTCCTGCATGTTCACAAAGCTCTTGCATCTGGAGAGGGCCGAGCCCAGTGTGCCTGGACTGCAGTGCTATGCAGAGTATTGTCTATGTGGGATTGTTAGCCCCACGGGACACAGTATAGTCTTACAAGAAAACAACCAGTAGTACCTGTTAAGGTGGACACTGTGAGTTATGAATCAACCCTGATGTATCTGGAACAGCAGCACCCAGAAAGACAGTCCAGAGGTCAGCATTGCCCTGCTGCAGTATGGAAGTAATACACAGAAGTATCTGTGCTGAAGAGCAGCCTTAAGTGCCAAGACAGGAACAGGGTAAAGTTCCTTGTCTGTTTGAGTGAGCTGAGCCATGCCCTGCCCCTTGGAGAAGGAGGAGTAGCCCAGCAAGTAGATCAGGAATGCATATGGTAATAACCACCTCCTGGGACAGCTGGGCAAGTGCATGTAAGGAACCAACAAGAGCCACCATACGAGAGTCCTAGTAAGCTTCTCAGGGTAGAGACATTAGCCTTTGTGGAGCTTCCTGTGACATCTGGAATCAGAGACTCTGCCCCTAACCTGGTATCCTGCATACAGTTTCCAAGGCAAATGTACCTGCCCATCTTGGGCGTGTTCAGTCCCCTGCTGCCTGTGCCCATCACAGCCTGGAGTATGATTAAGAGGTAGGAGCCAGCACAACCCCACCACTGAGAGCTAGTGCCAGAAGGAAGAGCCTGTGTGGGCAAGTGCTATGAAAGGAAGATTTAAAGCTGCAGCAGAGAGAAATGGTTTTGGGTCTGGCAGTCAGCCCTTTAAGGAGAGGCATCATGCCTGGTGGGCATGCACTCGTGGTGAGGGTAGGCTTGCCACAAACATAATAGCTCATTGGTTTCCTGCGAACTGGGCTTGGGTCTTGGTACGGTGCTAGTTCTCACTCCTCTCTTCCAACCCCTGGTGGAAGGCATGGGGTCCTGTCCAGAGCTCGACCTTTATGGGTATGCCTCTGGTACCCGAGCTTCAGGCAGATGAGTACAGATCTGTGGGAGCCCTGACTTCACAGACAGCTTTCATGGCTCCTATCAAGAAGCCTGTGACTTGCAGCACCTCTGCAACAGCTGCCGTTAATGGCTCTGATGGTAGCTTTGGTCTCTGTCTTATGTTTCAGTCTTAACACCCCAGCTTGTGTTCAGCACTTTCCCTGCTTGTGAAGAGACCAGGCCTCAGTTCCTTCTTGTGTATAATTGATGGAATTCCCCACACTTGTAGGCTGAGAAGCCAGCTCATAATGGAGTTCCCATAAGAAGGATGCCAATAATACTGAACAGTATAGAGGCCCTGGGGCTGCCTGTGACAGTGGGATCCTCATGGAGAGAGAGGACCCACCAGCTGCCAGTCATTGCTCTTCTAGTATTGCACCTGAATTCTTCTGGTGCATACCACATCTCCCCTCTCCTCGTGTTTCTCCCCTTCCATTGGGGAGTTAGGGTAGCTTACTGGTGGGAGAATGATTTTTGCTTTGGGTTGTGATTCAGAATTATACTATGAAAAGGGAAACTTGAGTCTATGGTGATTGTCCAGAATTTTATTCCATTCATTAAATATATTGACTGAATTTGACTTGTCTACATTTATTTTCTGTGCCTCTAGGACACATTGAGACAACATTTAGACAAATCTTTGGAAGAGAATAGTAACTTAAAATCTCTTCTGTTAAGCGTGAAAAAAGAAGCAAAAAATTCAGACACTTCAGCTGCATTAACTTTGCAGATCACGGGTAAGTGCACAGTTTACTTGTTAAAATTGGAGTGCCATGCATGCATATGGTAGACATAGTTCTAAGTCACTTTATGTCAGGAGTTGGAGTCAGTAAATACTGCCTGAGTGGGTCTGGAGACTCATTCCAATTGTTAATGGCTGCCTGTAGCAGTTGGTCTGGAGCAGTATGTGGAGGTAACTTCTTGGGCTGTTTCTACCACCATCTGGATCTTGAATCTTCTGCTTCCTGAGAAAGCAGGTGTCTTGATTGGTTGTTTGTGGTGACTGTTTCTCTCAGGTCCAGATAATTTTTATTTTTCTTCACTTTCTGGGGTGTTTTGTTTTTCCATTTTATGGAGAGTCAAGTTCTAATGCCTGGAGTGGTCATCTGTGTTTCAGGCGGGCAGACTGTTGAGCACACATTGCTCTTGTTTCAAGGGAATCTCAGAAATAAATAAGAGTCACATAGATTGAAAGAGAACACCTGCTCTGGCACTGGTAGGAAGGAATCAGTGGGTACATCACATATGTGGCCACCACAGACTTCATAATGCTTCTCGCTCAACCACAGGCTACCTCATGGGTGCAGTTTGCTTCCTGAAGAAGGAGACTCTGCAGGCAGATCCAGTGGAGGAGGCTCCTGCTGGTGCCAGGTCTATGTCTGTCATCACCTTCTGCTTCCACATAGGGATGTGACTCCTCATGGATACCAGCTTTAGGGTATCAGGTGTAGGTAGAGGGGTATTAATTCCCATAGAGGGAGACAGGTGTTGCCTTGACACTCTTTACCCACATCTTTAAGTCTCTGGTGTTCTTTTTCTGGCTCTAATTGAAACCAGAATGGTCAAAATATGTGAATGAACATCTCTACACAATGCTACTATTTCCTCTCTTCCTCCCTCAGGACTTCAGGCAAGTATGAAACAGCTCTCAGGGGAAGTTATGGAGTTGAAGCAGCACTTGGAGCACTATGACAAGATCCAGGAGCTCACACAGATGCTGCAAGAGAGCCACAGGTCCATGTCTGAGTGGGCCACCAGGGGTTGCTGAGGCACAGGGTGTGCGGTACCGAGAAACAGCTAGCAATGTCTCTCAGGAGTTGGTGTTCAGGACCCAAGAGCATTGCCATGTTAACTTTGAACATCAATGAATATTCTCCTTGGTAAAAGCTGAGACGATGGTGACTGCAAGGAGTGTACTCTGAGGTATAGACAAGAAAGTACACAGCCTGAGGTATGGACCCTAAGGTGAGCACACTGAGGTAGATATGAACCAGGAGGTGTAGACTAGGAAGTCTGAGAGATAATGAGGTATGATACAGTGTTCTCCCCAGATCATGGTTCCTATGATATGTATTTTCCCTTCCACTTCAGTCCATGGCTGTTCACTTAGAAAAATGGAAATTATATTTCTACTTCTTGGCTGTGTGGGTAGTCAAAGGGAGACTAGGAATGTTGGGTTGGGCAAGGCAGACCCTCACTTTATTGAGGAAGTTTCTTCTGGGAAGGAGGCAGGTGCCTGAGTGAGAACAGGTATCAGAGCAGCCCTATTCCTGGGGCCTTCAATAGGGAGGGCTGGCATGTAGTCTTTGTTTTCACTCTTCCTTCCTTTCTCCCTTTTAACCCTCCTCATTGTTTTCTTACTAGGTGACCACATACTTTTATGGAGAGAGGCTCTCCCTTTAAGTCGTTACAGGCCAGCTATAGACCCATCACAGGCCTGGGTTACAATAGTTAGAGGGAAAGGCTTTTGGCAGAGAAGACTGAGCCAAGACTCAGTAGGGAGCAATGGAAGGAAGGAATCTGAAGTACTAATTTAGGGTTAAAAACAATAGCAGGCAAAACAGTACACTCTTGGAATTCAACGGGTCATCTGTGGTGATTCCAGTGACATTGGTGGTTGAGCTGTCAGCACCTGGCTCAGATATGGGCAGAGGAAGGTGCAGAACTCTGAAGACAGTGGAGTCAGGCTTTGGTCCACTTGTGTGCAAGCTGGTGTTATTCAGCAGCCGTTTCTGTGATTTAAACAAACAGGGCCAGCACCTGCTTAGTAGATTATTCAATGGGGTGACTGTCTTCAAAAGTGGCAGAGGTTAGCATTGCCTTGCTTTATCTAAACTTGTGATGCTATTCACTATGGCCACCTTGGGGAACTGAGCAGTACTGCGACATTGTGCAAAATGCACTAGCACTTCTGGATCTAGCTCTGCACTGTACTGTTGCCGTATCACAACTAGCCATGTATGACTAGGAATTAGAAACATTATAATATTGGGTCTTTCTAAAGTCAGAATATAGTTTTATTAGCCATAAAGGTTATCATTGTCTTGTCGTAGAACTGTGGTGTGTCAGCTTGTTCCCAAGCTCAGCTCACAATGACCAGCAGTGCCTTTAGGAGACTTGCTGAAGCCAAGGGATCGGGTTGCACCCCGTGTATGGTATGGAAAAGTCATATACAGGCACAGAAGCCGGTAAGAAGTGGAAGATAATGGAGCCATGAACAAGTGGTGGTGGCCTTGGCACTGCTGCAGTTAGGAAAACCTGGCCAGAACAAGGGTCAGAGGTGCCTTCGTGCTGGTGGATTTTGAGCTAAGCTGTGGCACTTGGGGCACAACAGCAGGCTGGGTAGTGGGAGGGACTCAGAAGTTGTTCTCCTTTTATCTTATAGTTCCCTGGTCAGCACCAATGAACATCTCCTGCAGGAGTTGAGCCGCACACGGTCACAACATAGAGCTGAGGTAGAGCAGATGCACTGGAGCTTCCAGGAGTTTAAGAAGACTGCTGCCCTGCTCCCACGCCGCAGCTCCCGGCTTGGTGGCCGCCAGTCCTGTTAGCTCCTACTGAGATGTGTCCTCTATCAGTCATAGCTCCAGAGTTGCACCTGGGCATGTATCTATCTGAATATCCTGGTGAGACTGTAATTACCTTAAGATCCTCAAAATGTGTTGATGGTCTGAAGTTCAGCTTGCTTATGTGTCCTAAATTGACAAAGTCGACCCTGGGTCTTTGCCATATTTGGAACACTTACTTTGCCAATACACATCCTGTTGTAAAGTTTCTATAGTATTTTTTTCTTCCCAATTTGTGAAAGTTTTGTATAATTAAAATAAGTTTTCAAGTGATAAGCAGTCCTTATTTAAAGAATATATTGTTATGTTTAAAAATCAAACCTTTTATGTGGCTCTTTATAAATTGTAACTGACTTTCTCACTGAATTCTTCTATAAAACAAGCTATACAAAGTAAGTAAGCAGAAAGAAATAGTTCCAAGTTTAATAAAAAATAACATTTATAAATGTGGAAAACATTTTAAGACTTTGTACGATGTTAACATGTTATGGTAAAAAAAAAAAAATCTCCCACTCGCTGCTACACCCTTGCTTGCAGTAACTCCTGCAAATAAGCAGGCTATTCAGCCAAAAACCAGGGGCAGACTTAGATACTCACCGTGCAAAACCCAGCTGAATATGTGAAAAGTGCTCAATAGAAGAGGCAAATTCAGTCCACCAGAAGATAGTCCTTCTAGAGTGAAGTGTGTGCAGACAGATGCTCTTAGGCACTAGTGTTGGTGCTGCTAAACACGGTCACTCTGGAGACTGCTTGGAATTGTCTAGAGAAGCTATCGTGAAGATGCTGAAGGAGCTGAGGGAAGCATGAACACAACCTAAGAAAGGATTGAATATCTGAAACTTTCTACCGAGCATTGGTGGTGCCCGCCTTTAATCCCATTTTTCTTTAAAGAGAATACAGTTATAATTTTTCATCCCTGACATTTGGTAGAGCTTGCTGGTGAAGTCACTTATGCCTGGAACTTTCTTTGTGGGTAGAGTTTTTATACCAATTCAGTATGATTGTTTTAATATGTGGCAGAGCCTGTTCTCACCAACAGCCCAGCCTCTCCTGAGTTACTTTTGGGCCACGTTACTAATAGTTAGAGGCAACAGTGTATGAGGAACTGAGGTGTGTCCTAGCAGGATCAGACAGAGGAAGAGCCAGCTGCTGAGCCACTTCGGTAGTTGCTCTGATGGATCTTGGTCTCTGCCTCACAAGGTCAGAAAAATTCCCCTGCCTAAGCTCTGCATTGGCCCAGGTGGATTTTGTGTTCAGAGCAGTGAGTGAGTTTCAAGCCTCAACTTTGAGGCTTTGGGGGCTTTCTGCTGTGTTCTATAGCTCCTAACCCCAAGTCAAGAGTTGTATAGTCAGCTGTCTATTTCTGCTTGAGGTTTTGTGAGTCCTGTGTGTCTGTGAATTAATATGTATTGCCTTGGTTACAATGTGTAGACATGTTGTGACATTGAGCTTTTAAATAGGAAGGCCTCACTGTCAGGGTAAAAAGATAGCCTCTGGCCATTCGCTCTACCTCAGCTTCCACACTACAGTCATGCTCATCAAGCCAGTGAACAAGGAGGCCTGGTGTTCCCATCTCAGTGAGTCACTGATGGGTAGACTCTAGAGCATTCATTCTGTTGGCTGTCGTTTACATTCTCAGCTGTGTATAGGCTGAACCAGCTTTCTGTCTGTCCTTCCCCTTGATGTCACTCATGGCATTGCACATTTTCCACAATTACAAATGTATTTGGGTTTGTTTCATCAGTTTTCCTGCTTTGTATTTCTTTCCTTTGGTTCTATCTGCCATTTCATTTTGTATATTTGTTCATGTGGGGTTTTTTTTTTTTGGTTTTTTTTTTTTTTTTCTGGCTCCAGTATTGTTAACTTGTTTTTGTTTAGTTGATCGCTGGTTTTTTTGATTTTTTTTGTTTTGTTTTGTTCCATTCTGTTTTGAGACATGGTCCTTACTATGTAGCCTTGGCTGGCATGGAGCTCACCATGAAGACCAGGCTGATCTTGAACTCACAGAGATACTCTTGCCTCTACCTTCAGAGTGCTGGGATTAAAGGTGTGCACCACTGCTCCTAGCCTTTTAGATTGTATCTTTTCAACATCTCTACCAGCTAATCAGAAAGCTGGTCACACAAAAGCCTGTGAACACTAGCCTCACTATTCACCTTTGGGTTTGTGTGTGATTGTTCCCAAGTTTCTTGATGAAGTATGTTTAGTTTCACAAAATACTTGCATAGCTACTACTAGTCTGAAGCTACCTGACTGCTTATTTGCTGTTTTACTTTATGTCAGAAACATTTCCTTGTGATCACTTTCTGCATTTAGAATTTTGTTGTTGTTGTTGTTGTTGTCGTCTATTGGTCGCAAATTATTACATTTCTAAGAAACCCCCCCCACCCCCAGAGCCGCAACCTCCTTGGACTAGTATTTGAGGTTGACCTGAATTTTACTCATCAGCTTGATGATGTGCCTGCCTTTGGAGAGCTGGTTGTTTGTGATGCAGTTTATGGATAATCATCTTAAGTTTGGACCTCATCTAAGGGCTGTACCAAAGCCAGACCTGACCTTGAATCTGACATATGGCTGGTCTATGTACCCTTGCAGTCCTGCCTAAACTAGGAAGCAGAAAGCCCCTCGGGTGAGAGTAATGTGAGGCTCTCTACCAGTGAGCTTTGATGCAGGAAAGACTGTAGGCACCTCTATGTTAGTATCCAAGTATCAAGGCCCTGCTGGCCCTGTGACAGCTAGTATAGACAGCAGAGACTTTGAGAAAAATAGAAATCCACAATTTAACACCTTTATTCATCACTTTACCAACTTGACACACAATGTTAATAACAGCAAACACAATGAACAAAATGTTGATAGACACAAGCTGTTTCACTAAAGCAGTATGAGCCAGGCCATGATGATATGTCCAACAGGTGACTAGATGCCTTACACTCTACAGGAGGGACAGGAGGGCCACCCTGACCTGACAGACATTCTGAGCAAGTGTGGTTCAGATGTCAGCATAAGTGCCTTTCTGAGTCAGAACACCCATGACATCAACATTATCCATCACACTGATAAAGTGATATACTCCATATTCCCTAACATTAATAAAATAGTGTAAAAATATATATCACATATATATATATATATAAACTTAACTCCCTTTCTTGAAAAAAAAAAAAACTTAGTACAAACTAGTAGTAGTAGCATATTATTCCTTTCAAGTTTAAGTTGTACAGGCTTCCTTTGTTGTTTGGCTTGGTTTAGTTTAAGAAGTCTAAAGGAAGAGATAATTTAAGCGTCCCAAGATGGCCACACCCCTGAACTATAAAGTTCAGAATGGTCAGTAGTATGTTGGTGAAGAAGAGCAGTTTGGCTCAGTGTTGGAAGGATATTCTGTCTATTGATGTCTTCACAGTACAGCTAAATTGTCACCCTTGCCATATGTAAAAGGTGTTGGTAGGGCTTTCCCATGTGCCCATGCTGTAGCCAGGTAGTATACAAGTCTGCAGAAAGAGAGAGCCAGGCAGACAGGCAGTTTTAGTTTTCCCTGATAGGGGACAGGTGGCAAATACCATAGGTGTCTGTGCCGTGGCATTTGTCTCAATCCTCCCAGCCAGTTCTAATGCCAAAGCAGCTACAGAGCAGTATGTAAACACATGGGTACAGCTGTGTGCCCGTAAAACTATTCATTAAAACAGGAACTGAAGCAGCCAGGGCCTCCTGGAGTGGGAAGGTTGTGTCTTGGCTCAGGGCAGGTACCTGTCATCTCCCTGGAAGAGACTGCAGGAACGTGGCAGAAGCTGCTATGTAGCCCATTTCAAAACTGTCTCCATCTGTCGTAATGTCCCTATGCCCCTATGTAAGATAGGATACTGAAAGGTGTAAAAATACTCCAGTATAAATATATATCTTTCCACAATATTTAAACACGTAATTTGAACTTTGATTTTGGTAAAGCATTCCCACTAACTAGCTGCTTATCTTATAGCATAAATAGAAATAAATATTCTACTAGAGTCAGTGTTCTCAAACACTCTCCTACCTGCCTACCTTCCTTCCCTGACACTTAAAATACCATCTGCATTGTTCTCCCTGCAACCTATACCTTTCTCCTGAATATCACCTCCAACAGAATATGTCCCTGTATAACCCCCCCCACACACACACACAGAGCATGTTCCTGAGTGTCACACTCAACATGTCCAAGTATCTCTCTGACAGAACATACCCTGAGTGTCACCTGCAACAGAATGTCTCTGTCACTCCAACCCATGTCCCTGAGTGTTACCCCTGACAGAACCTCTTATTTTCTTGCTGTCACACCTTAACAAAACCTGTCTTTGTCTCCTGAGTGTCTTCCTCTGATAAGAATGTATCTTTTTTGTCTCCTGTGTCAGCTGACAACTGAGTATGTCTCTGTCTCCTGGGTGTCCCCTCCAGAAAAAAAAAAAAAAAAAAAAAAAAAAAAAAAAAAAATGTCATCTCTTGGTTGTCATCTCCTGAGAGAACCTGTCCCCATCTCTTGTGTGTCTGTCACCTAATAGCACATGGTCCTGGGTCTCAGTTTGCATGCTATGCAGGTTTTTGTTGTTGTTGCTCACAGATAGATACTGAATTCTATTTGTCCATGATTAGTAAAAGCTAATTGGCATCGCATAAAACATGCAACAGAGACAAACACTCTGCCTCTGTGTTCACATCAGAAACTGAAGGAATGCACATCTGTTTTGTGCAGCAGAGTTGGAGTCCAGTCAGTTTCTGTGTTGAGAGGGTACACAGATGCCACAATGAATTCCATAGACACTTCAACTGACAGTATGGAGACACTAAGTCTTCGTGATCTAATCGCTACCACCCTTTCCTTGCTAGATGGCGTATGACGCATCATCTAGAGGGAGGGTGTATTTTCAAAGTTAAACTTAACACTGACTAAAGAAAGGTGCTGTGTGAGGAAACTGGGATTAAGAAGGGACACAATGAAGACCACTTGTCTGGCTTAATTCTGGGTGCTGCCAAAGGACTACATGGGAGGGCCTAGGACTGTCCCTCAGGAGCCTAGGTCCTGTGCTAGGAGAGTGAGGACCAGCAAGGCAGTGGCATACAGAGCCCAAGTTGTGTTAGAGCAAAAGCTCCCATCTCATACCAGTGGAACAACTGCCCAGGACTCTGGACCAGACGCTCTCTGAAGTTCTTATCTTCTGCTGAGGATTTCCCCTGTGAGGGCTGAGATAGTTCTGGTCCTCGGCTGCCCAGAACCTATGTGTGTGTGCCTCTCTGCGCTGTTCTGTTCAATCCCCAGCACACGGGCGAGGCAGTCAGTTTATGACGAAGCTTCTCCATGAGGCTAGGTGGCCCCATGACGTGGCATTGTTTCCTAGGTGCTGCTAGGCAGCCTACCCTCGATCTTGGCTTGGATCTTCATCTGGACATCAGTCTGGCATCTCAACTGTTTGAAAGGGACACTGTGTCCAGGATCCTCAGACCATCCTCAGACCACCCTAGCCTGTCACTCAGCCCTGGCCCATATGCAGTCACCTCCTGATGGATTTGTGTGTGTTCCATTTCACTCAGCTGTGATGGTGGCAACTGGGCTGTTAATAGGCAGTAGACAAGAATAGCATCAGGCCAAGAGACTGCCAGCCACATGGGGACTAGGGGTTCTGAAGGAGGGTGTGAGAAGTGTCAGTGTCCTTTTGTTTCCCCAGACCAGCAAGGTAAGATTTCAGAACCAAGGCTCCAGTACTTGGTTTTTAATGCCAGGTACTGCAGACTCCCACAACCTGGGGAAGAAGCTGACTACTAGACTATCCCCATCCTCCAGTTGTGGCTGTGTTGAGGGACTTCATAACCTTGGACCTTCAGAGGTAGAAGGTCTGGTATTGAGGTCCTGCTTTTCCTCTCAGGCTAGTAGGCAGTCTTCCCTCAAGCTGCAGTGAAGACATGCTCTCTGGGCCCTAGAGGCACGGATAATGCGACTGTGTGCCACGGCAGTGAGGGAGGCAGCTTTGCTGTCTACTTGTGCTGTGCCAAGCCATGTGATGTCCCAACCACCCGTTCTTGGAGCCATGTCCTGAGATCACTATGGGTTCTTTCTAGAAAATGAACACATAGTCCATCCAGCAAGTTGCATGCAAGGGTAGGGCTGTGTTAACGCAAAGTAACAATTGCTATGGGGCTGTAATGATGGTGGCACATGCCTTTGGGCCTGCCTAAGTGGCATCTTCACACATGGATGAACTGAGTCATGTGTTCTCCTGTGGCAGAAAAAGAAACCCTAGTAGATGCTGCAAGAGTTTGGGGGTTGGGGGTCTAGTTCTAGCGTCCAGTGCCCTGAACTTGTACTCAAGAGAAAAGTTAGGAAAATTGAACCCAGAGGTGACTTCATAGAGCTGAAGACACATACTTTTGAGCAAAGCACAACATAACTTTCCCTGGCAAAAGCTCCAATCTCACACTGGTGGAACAACTGCCCAGGTCTGTTCTGGACCAAATGTTTCAGCATCATGTGTGTCCAAACCTGGTGATGGGTCAGGACAAGGAGAAAGTCAAGGCAGCTTCATGTTCTGGATCTTCCTGGACCACTCTTGAGGCCAAGCACATAGTCTTGTCATTTCTTAGAACAGCACTGAAAAAACTTCCAGCTTCATGCTCCAAGTCACTCCCCTGGTCACCAGGGGCCTTCCATTGTCTCTTGGCCACTCAGTACAGACTTGGTTGATGAGCGTGCATGTGTGTGTGCGTGCGTGTGTGTGTGTGTGTGTGTGTGTGTGTGTGTGTGTGTGCATGTGTACTGATGTGAGCTGTTCCACACACAATGGCACAACAACCAGGTAGCCTCAGTCATGTCCTGTGGTTAGGAAGGATGAAGGGGCCTATTCAGGATGACTTTATGCAGTTGGTTAGTTCCTTAGCTCCTACTGCCCTAGTAGGGCCTGGATAAGGTCAGTGTGAGTTCTAATGTCTGCTCTGCTCATCCTTATACCTACCAATGCTCAAAACACCCCCTTTTTGCCTGCAGATCAAGTGGCCAGTGTAGTATGATCCTAGGAGAGACCGTTTGGAAATAGCAGTCCATTTCCCAGCTGTGGACAGGGCAGGTATGTTAGGAAAGGACATGAATCATGGGCCAAATGTGGGGTCTGAGAGAGAAGTGTCAAAGCACCCAGCAGGAGGAGGCCTGGGCATTGCCCCCACCATTGCCTAGTGGAGGTGCATTCTGAGTTCTGCCCAGCTGAACATAGGAATGTAATGAAGTGCAATGGGTGTAAGTCCTGTGCCTGGCACCCGCAGTGTCCAGAGCTTTGGCCTGTAAGGCTACTTGCCCCCCTGCACCTTCTGGTCATAGGTGCCTGCATGCTTGTAGCCAGGCACATAGCCTGACTCATCCACCAGGTCCACACGGCCAGCTTTGCCCTTGCCCTTTCCTGATTGGTCAAAGCGCTCTTTGTGAGAGCCTGTGAACTTGGTTGTGTCTGTGAGCCGTGACACCGTAGGCGAGGACACAGCTTTCTGCAAGAGAACAGAAGAGGGTGTTATCACAAGCCAAGCAAGTGAGGGAGCTGGGTAAGAATTGTCTCTATCTACGCAGCATTTCAGTGGGAGGTGGCAGGGGTTGTAGGAGGAGCTAGCAAGGGCTGTGAAGGCCACATGTTCAGACAAGGGATTACCTCTCCTGGCTCCAGGTTAGCCCCAGACTTATAGGGCTAACAAGTCTACCGGGCCATGGTCTCCCCAAGGGCAGATGCAAGCAAGAGTACTAAGTCCCACCAGTGCTTCATCCCCTCACCGTGACACCAGAGATGACTGGTGATCGTCCCTCAATGAGCCGGTGCACCTCACGCACAGCCTCCTCGCTGCTCTTATCCTTGAACCGCTTCTTGGCCAGCTCCTCCAGCGCCTCCTGGAATTGCTCAAAAGTGATGGTCCTGCAGGACTTCCCTCTGTGGGTGACAAACTTTTTGAGTCCTCAGGTAGTATGCAGTCCTCCAGGACCAACCCCACATGTATACCATCCCTTCCTGCATTCTGCAGTGATCCCCACTGGCCATGGCCAAAAGTCACCAGCCACTGCCAACAGACTGGAAAGAATGAAGGAAGCATATTCTTTAAGAACTACAGAGTGTCAGGACTTTTCTGTCTGTTCCACAAGCGGCAGTGTGGTCTCTCCTGGGTGCAAGGGCAGAGGGAAAACCAGGAGAGAAGATCCTCTTATCTTTTCAGGGGACACCCTAGCCAGTCAAGGAGCAGGAGGGAACCCAGGCCTAAACCAGGGTTAGAAGTGGCCCAGGAGGAGCCTAAGGCTATGGTCATCACAGTAGGCAAGATTAGGAGGAGCTGTAACACCTGTCCTGCTCAGAGTCCTATGAGTGCACAGTGCCAAGCAGCCTGGTCAGCAGGATGGCGTGAAGTTGCAATGCTCACCCACCATGTGCACCCTGCCACGGGGGAGCATCCTAGATTCCCTGTCATTTCACAAAATCCTCCCTTCATAAAAAGTTATGAAGTTATTTATAGTAATTTTACTTTAAACCATTTTCAACTTGGCATTCACCCCCAACTAATTCAAATTAGTGAAGTTTTCGATGTTTTGACATAGTGTGAAGTCCTGCATGTTGCTGGGGCATTTTAGTCCAATGGCCTGAGATAAGCTACCTCTTATGGCCAGGCATGCCACTGACCCCAGCTGCAGTGCTACGAGTTCAGGACTTTCAAACAGTTGACTGACAAAATCCCAGTGGGGCTTCTATGACTGTCCGTCAGCATAGGTTCCAGAGCAGCCAGGATGAGTTTATGAAAACAAAAAGGTTGAAGGCCTGAGACCACACTAGTCTAAGACACCTTTCAAAGCCTCATGAAGGAGACAGTATGAGACAGACATACAGATCAGTGTATCTGGAGCCCACACAGGTGACTAACTTGAACAAGCTCAAGGAGAAAGGACTATTTCAAGAAATTACTAGAACAACTGCTACCTCTGCAAAATAAACCAACTAGGATCCACAGCAGGACTCCAGAGTCAACCTTCTCAAGCATATCTAGATAACCTGGGTGACCTTAGGGTGGGCAAGGTTTTCTTAGAAATGATGCCAAATCATCATGTTCAATAATAGAAAACAGGCAAACTGGACTTCAGAATATTAAAATCCATGTCCTTTCAAATGACACTGAAGATAAATACCACAGAGCTGAAAAAAAAATGCTTGGAACACACTAACTTGAAAAGGAGCTTGTATCTGAAATATGCAACTTAACAAGAAAATTTCAGCCGGGCAGGGGTGGTGCACGCCTTTAATCCCAGCACTTGGGAGGCAGAGGCAGGTGGATCTCTATGAGTTCGAGACCAGCCTGGTCTACAAGTGCTAGTTCCAGGACAGGCTCCAAAAGCTACACAGGGAAACCCTGTCTTGAAAAGCCAAAATAATTTTTTTAAAGAAAAAAAAAGAAAATTTCAAATGGGCCAAGTATTTGGACCAGATACCTCCCCAAAGAAAACCCACTGATGGGAAAACAGCTCACATGACAAGTCACCCATGAGAACAGCAGAGGTAATGGGGGAAATTGACCGCTGCAGGCTAAGGAGGAATGACATTGAGCCAGTCTTTCAGGAGAAATGAAGATTTAAGCTCATGTTAAACCCATTTGTGAATATTGTACAGATTTTCTTCAGTCATTCAAACTTGAGAAGCACCCAAATGTCCTTTAGCAGTGGCCCAATAAAGCATTCTGTGGACAGCAGTGTGAGGCTACACCAGTGACAACACAGTCACAAAGTGGACCCTTAGTGGCTGGGCTGAGGAACCAGATGTGAAAATACTACTGTTCCACACACCCTGAGTTTTTACTGGTGCCTACAAGAGTCTCACACTACACTAGTCCTGAACACATGGGGCATTCTACAAACAAATGGGAGAGCTGAGCCAATTACCCTTTGAGAAATGCACGGAACCCCATGTTGTAGACTGCACCTACTTCTCAGGAGACTGGGGAAGCCACGGAGGCATTACACTTGGATCGAGGACACAACACAGGAGCTAGAGTCCCACAGTGACACTGCGGATCCTAGAACTTTGTAGAACTGCCTGTGGTGCAGGTAATGGAGTCTCAGTAGAAGCCTTGTGTCTTAGAGGGTGGGTTCTAGTCCTTCAGTGCTCTCAGCCCCAGTACTTACCAGCTACCTTTGACATACTGAGAGATTCAGGGCAGTTGAGCAGCTTGGCTTCACAGTCCAATGGTGCCTGGAGATGACAGCTTTTCCCTCTCTACTAGGACCTTGGGGGTGTGTTGCTCTAAGGCCCCTCAGGGCTGCTCTGTTTGTCCTGAGAAGTCAAAAGCGCTCTTGTCTCCTACTCCCAACCCTTCCTGGGCTGACATGAGGATGCCAGGCCTAATGACCAGCCTGGCAACCAACTGCTGGGGCACACAGCCCTTTCTGGGCTGCCTCGGCACCAGGCACCACCAGCATGAGTCACTGGGGGATGGGGTAACTGGAGGGACTCAGCCATCACAGGCCACATTCAGATAGAACTGGATGTTTGTTCTACTGGTACCAAGAAAACCTTTCTGGCCTATGTCCCCATAAATCTGTATTGTTGGGGAGAGGGGTCCCTGCCTTGGTTCCTAGTTCACAGGGAATTTCCCAGGAGACCCAGGCACTTCTTGAAGCAGAATCCCCAACTAGCTCTGGGAAAACAATGCCCATTTCTTCCTCACAAATGTGAAAACTGCAGGGCTCTCCTACACAGTGAGCCTATATCTAGACATCCCAGGACTGAGGGCTCTTCCTAGGGCTTGGCCTTCCCTGTCTTTGGTTCCCAAGCTGTCCAAAGCTGGCCTACAAGTGGGTCTCTGCTCAAATATATTTCAAGAGCCTGGGATTGCTTCCCAGGCCATGTCCCCATATGTGCAGTGCACCTTCTCAGTCCCTTGGGAACCCTGGTACCTGGATAGGCGGGTCAGGACCTAGCATCAGGCAACAGAGCCCTCTGAGGAAGGTCTACTCCTTTATGGCCAATACCACAAAACTACCACTCCCCACCTCACCTTTGGGCTTTCACAGATCCCCTAGTCCGGCCCATTCATCACCTTTGTGAAGAGGTCCCTGTCAAGGCTTGAGTAATAAGTAATGAAACTCGTAAGTGATGAAAGACTGGGGCATTCGGGACAAGACAGGGAGGCCTGGGCTTCTCAGTTCCTGGCATTGACAGAAGCTGTTGCTTCTGAAGTAACCACCAGCTAGATACCATTCAGACCGAGAAGGTTCGAGGGTGGAAAGATACTCCCTCCCCATACATGTGGTGGTCTGAAAGCAGCAAAGGACCTGGAAGGGATCCCCCTCACCCCCCAGGCAGTGAGAACCTCTAGTCCAGGATCCTGCCCTGCAGGAATACTTTCTCATAGAAAGCCCTCCTGCAGTCTTTCCGTAGAAATACAGAGCTGACCTGTGCCTGGTGAACCGCAGAGCAGCCTCAGCTGCCATGGGCCTCAAGTTGCTATCAATGTCTCTGGCTCTTTAGATGTATTCAACAGAGGTGCAGAAATCTCGTCATTCTCTTCAGATGCCATCCTCTTGTTCCTTTCTCAGGTGTCTCCCATGCCCACTGACTACCCATCTACCTCACGGCCCCACCCTGCACTCTCTATGGAAGACAATGCTGACACTGTTGAAAGTCTAGCCCTGTCAGTTCTCTGTACCCTCAGCAGGTCACTGGACTCAAGAAGTCTCCTGGGAGTAGGCTATGTGCTCTCTGCCCAGAGGGGCCTGGATGCCCATCAGCCTGTTTCAGGAAATCAGAGGTCATGCAGCAACACTGTTATAGCCCTGGTCTGGGCACATTCCAGATGTCTGTTTACAGGCAGTCACCAGCTTGCCTAGAGTGGACATTTGTGACCTACGGCATTGCTATTTCCCTCTATTGGGAACAAATTGTCTCAAACTATCTTTTCACTTGTCACTTAGTGTTTTCCAAGGAGCTGGAGGTTGTGGGATAAAGTTCTCCAGGTGATCCCAAATGAGAACCACGTCGGCCCACCCCCACCTCCTCAAGGCTTTGGCCTGGATTGAGTAGGGCTAAGCCATGAGGAGAGATGTCCCTGCAAGTGTTCAGACAAGTTATGGATATTCATTCTCCTGCATGTCCTTCATGCATTGGCTAGCCAACTTCCCAAGGCAAGGTGGAAGAGCTGAGGAGCAGGGAGAGCCCAATGGCCTGATCCTTACCTGGTTACTGCAGACTCACCAGAGCAGATGAAGCCTTGACCACAAAGCCATGGGAACCATTAGCTCAATGACTATCAGGCAAAAAAAAACCTCTACGTGTCTTGTCTATCCTCCAACAGAGGTCAGAACCCTGAGATTTCTCTGCAGGGTCTGAGGGGTTCCGCTGCACTGCCATATGTAGCCACTAGAGGGCCATGCAGAAGTAAGATTAGCAGCAAGGCTTCAGATACTGGGACACCTGAAGTCTAGGATGCATGCTGGATCTTGCTTGCTCCATTCAAGGCCTGCAGGGTCAGGCCAGTTTTCCCTGGAGCATGTGACTGTTAGTCTTACCCAAGACTAAGGAAGTCAAGCCCGAAGGAGGAACTCCAGGGACATGTGTGCCATAGGTGAATGGAACTGGGTGGGTCCCACAGTCAGGAACAGAGGTTGCCTCCAAGGGTCCTCATGTGTCCAAGTTGCTTTACCTCTGGATTTCTGTGATGTTTGGGTGGGTACACACAGAACCCTGTCCTTCCAGAGGGTTCCCAAAACTCCTGCCAGGACTCTCTCCAGACCTGGGGCCTGTTACTAGGAGGAATGGGCTACATTAGCCCAGGTGGCTGCTATGCTGAGCCTCACTGACTAGTTGTGGCATGTAAGGAACACCAAGCAGCTCATATACTCAGCAGTGGCTGACAAATCCTCAAGCTAGACAAATCTAGACCCTGCTCTCTACATGTAGGGACTGGCCTTGGTTCCTTCTGACCTGTATCCAGACATAATGGACACCCAGCCCTGACACCCCAGCCAAGTTACTTTCTGACTCTGCACAGTGTTGGCAGGAATCCGTGCATTTACTCTGGAGGGTACCCAACACACAAACAATCCAGGCTCAGAAAGGCCAAAGATTTCTGGGCCTCCTATCTAGTAGGATGGTGGTCAAAATAAAGAGGCAGTAGGTAAGCCCGGCCCAACCCCGAGGCTCCTACACCTCTTCTTTCACAAGCATTTGCAGGTACAAACCAGACACTCAGGCACATAGACCCATTATAGACAGTTACACATAGATACGATCCCTAGGGCCTCCAGGTGTCTCTCAAGCTGCACCCACTGGCCTTGCTTCAGTGTGAGGTCTCCATTAACTATATGGAGCCTGGCCATGCTGAGCCTTTTGCAGGATGGAGAGTCTAGATTAACAGTAGTCCACAATAAAAGTTGGTATAGAGCTTCAAGAAATTTGTTTAAAATTTAACACATAGTAACATCAAAACAAACAAGCGCTGCCATGGTGACAAGGACCTAAACAAAGGCTGCAGATACCCCAGCTGGCGCCACGCCTGCAGAGCCATGGCAACCTGCCCCAAAACAGAAATAGTTGAACTTCTTTTCTCTCAAGTCCTGTCAGAGTCAGCAACTTCCTGAAGGTACCTAAGCAATTTCCTCCCAGGCCCCAAATTCCCATAGGAGGCAAAGGCCTCTGCAGCTGCCATGGCTGTCCCTCAAGGGACCACAAACACCCAGCTCTCATAATACAAACAGTGCCACCACAGCCACAGTTTTCCTGGAAATCTCAGTCCCAGAGTTCCCCAGTCCTTGTGGACCCCTCGCAATATTCTACCACCACCCTGGTACTCGGGACACTGTCCCCCTACACTTTAAGACAACGTGAGCCTGACTCTTCTGTCCACACATGCCTGTGAGGTGGGGATCGTCCTCAAGAACAGAGATGTTCCAAGTGGGACATAGGTCATAAGAAACCCCAATGGAGTCTGGGCTCTGAGAGGGAAGGAGAATTCAAAGATGGTAGAGGTGAGGGAATGGAGACCTCTGGGGTCTCAAGGATCCACGTGTGAAGGCAAAAGAAATGTCAGGGTTTCTGGACCTCTGCTTAGTGCAGGATCCTCACCTGGGCTTCTCCAGCCACCCAGCTAAACAGCCACCCAGCTAAACACCCGTCCCAGCGTGTATCCAGTGTCAGCAAGCACAGCGGGCATTAGAATACAGCACTTATAGATCTTATAGTCTGCCTAGAGTATCATAGCCTTGAGCCTTCTCTGGGCTTGCACGGCAGGAACCCTGCAAGGTTCCCAGGTAGCCCAGAGTCTACAGTGAAGAATGACCCTGTCCTGGAGTCTGAGCGTCTGAAGTTATGCATTCAGGGAATAAGCATTCCCTTCACATGGCTTACTCGTGTGGGTCTAGAGCCCCCCACCTCCACCCACATGGCAGGAAGGACATGTGGAGTTAGGAGTTCTCAGTCCTTTGTGGCCCACATCATCCAAAAGACCTATAACCACATAGTACCACCCACTGGGAGGCTGTAAAAACACAATTCTACATGAGGTGGGGTGTCCATATAAAAGCACAAAGCTGGAAGGCAGCCTCCTTCAGAAGAAACTGGAGAAGTTGATTAACCTCTGGGCAGGCCACTTCTTCCTGCCTTCCAAGAATCCCTTCTAGAAGCTTCCCCATAGACACAAGTCTCTGGGTCCCCATGTTCTTGGATTCGTTTTTGATTATCTTGAACACTGGATTTACTGAGGACACGGCGTCATAGGAGACATGTCTATGGAGAAGAGCACCATGAGCTCACTGCCTTTGCCTTAAAGACACCCTATGTGCTCTCAGTGTAGGAATAGCTTCCAGGGACTCTGATAATCTCAGGGTTGGGTCTGTAAAGGCTACCTGCTGTGGAGAAGGAACATGGGGAGAGATAAGGTAAGGAGCTGACCAAGTACATTTGCCAGTTTAGACATGGTGGTGGGCTCCATAAAACAATCAGCTTTAACTGTATGCAGATGCTAGACATAGCTCACCTAGTTTTTCTAGGTCTCGGGTGTTGCGGGACCTAACACAAGTGCTTGGCATCTAGATGAGAGATTTGGCTATATCAGAACCTCTAGTGCTGATCATTTTTACAGCCTGGGTCAATGCCCCTCATTCATAGTTGGCCAACCTACCAGGATCCACCTGCCTGTCCCTGCCTGGAACAGTCCAGTGGAACCCATAAGGCCAGTTTCTCTGAGGAGGCTACACATTTCCCTGCAGGTGACCGCTGAGGTAGGCCATGTGACCAGCACAGTGAGCTCTACCAAGCCTGGGAAAGCTCCCACAGACAAGGCCTGTGGTGGTGGCAGTACCCAAACTCAGGGGCAGTCACTTTGGTGTAATTTAGAAGGTCTCAGGGACTAAAAGTATCAAGATATCCCAGTCATCTATGGAGGAGCAGCAGCAGTATGGAGGTCCTTCATGCTAATAGACATCTTGGGGCATGCATATGCCTGTGTCCTTACTTTGTAAACTTCTCATGGCTTCCTATCTCCAATTACTATGCTGTCCCATTTAGGGACTCAGGGGAAAGAGCCATCTCTTGACCCCATCTTGGGTCCTTCCTATAAAAGCAATATAATGAATACATGGTGTTTATAGACTCTCCTCTGTTGGGGTGTCACAGAGAGGCCAGTGTTATCCAACAGCATTGCACACAGAAAAAGCTGTGGAGAAAAAAAGTGTTAAGAAACCCAAAGACCACAGTCTAGAAGTACATAGGATCCCTGGCCAAGTGCCTCCCTGGTTGGCTTGGGAGGAACTGGTGCTGGTTTTATCACAATGGAACCCGGCCAGAGTAGAGATGAGAGCGGTTGCAGTGGGTGTCAGGGAAAAGTGATCACATCTGGGCCACTGACCATAATTTTTCCTCACATCCTAACCCACAATAATTGAACTTCAGGCCAAGGTGGGTAGATCTGAGACAACTGGGAACAGGGTCTGAGATGGATGGGAAAGAGGGGCTGGGGTAACTTAGGTACACACAGCATCTGCCTTCAGAGGTTGAGACTTCGTGGAGAGTCTCTTCTCCAGTTTCTCATTGGGGTTGGAAGGCACAAGGAGACAATGCAAGCAGAATGGACCAGCTCAGACTTCTCTTCAGAGTCCCCTGAGGTCAGTGGGGCCTGGAGAGGGTCAGGATGCAGAGCCCCTTTGGGATACATTTCTTGGCCTTTCTAGTACAACCATTCAAACCTAGGATACTCCAGACACAGTCTCTTGTACTTTGCACAATGGGAAGTTCACCAGGGAGCATGGAATTAAGATTTTCTTCCTTGGCAGAACCTCAGACTCTCAGTGCACAGCAAGGTTGATATCAGCTTTGGAATGGGTGGAGATAGCTAGACTCTGGCTCAGTGATCTCCCCAGAGCCCCTTCCTAAGGGCTGAGACCTTGAAAATTCTGGCTCAGACTTCCTTCATCTCTCTCAACCAGGATCTGGAGGAAGCTATAGCTGGCTTCATCTGGAACAGAAAGATGTCAACATCCCAAATCCCCTGGTCATGGTTCCCTGTATCTGGGTTCTGGCTCACTTCACCTCTTCCCATTGGGACACATGTTAAATCCGTTCACCTTGCCAGGAATGCCTAGATTCCCAGCATGAGATACTTGTTGGAGCTCTCAGGAGCCATCTGCCAGGCCACCTCTAACTTTTTGCCTGTTACTCAAAGATTCCTCCAAGCACCAGTGCACAACCCTGGGGGCAGGGAAGCCTTCCTGCCCAACAAGTCCACAGGAAAAATGGTGATCAGCAACCACCGTTATGAAGACCACACCTCCCACCCAAAGCCAGAGGAGGAAGTAATGTTCAGCTAGTAGCACCCACAGAGATCAACCACAGGACCTGACAGCACACAGATGTTTGACAACACAGTGGATGAATGGCTGGGTTTTTTGTTTGTTTGTCTGTTTGTTTGTTCCGTATCAATTTGGCTGCATATGTGAGCATTTCTCAAGTGCAAAATAAACAGAGATGGACAAGGAGCTGGAAGAGGCTGTCATGTGAAACTGTCCTATCCCAGAAACAAGGTTAAACTGGTATGGCCCCCACACTGAACTCATGGACTCAGCCCATAGTGGCTGGGTCTCTGTTCACCTGAGTAGAACCCGATCATGTCTAGTGAACAACTCACTAACCTGTGGTTGGTTAGAGTTAACTAAGTCTTCTCAAGGCCAGAACCCCACCCCCACCCTGACTACATCCAAGGCCAGACAGACTGAGGCTCAGGACATGGCCAAGGAGTTCCAAGGCACTTAGGGCCAATGTACTCCCCAGACTGTCTCAGACACTACAGGTTCTGTGCCCACTTCTTAGCTTCAAGCATCAAGAATCTGCAAGCAAGATACTTCACAGACCCTCACAGCTACTGATACAAGCTGTGCTACCTAAGCCTGCATGAAACTTACTTGATCTTGCTGAAGACAATGTCCACATCAGTGACAGTCACATTCTTCCCATCGATCACGTGGCAGTCCTTGCACAGTTTCGACCAGTTCTTGCCATGCATCTCCTTCCCTGTTGCCCTGGTGTCTCCATGAACTGCGAACCGCCGGAAGGCCTCCTCCAGGGCACTGAGCTCAGGGGCTGCAGCTGCCCCCTCATTGGCACCCTCTGACTCCAGTGACAACCTCTTAGCAGCCTTGTCCTTGGCTGGTTCTCCTGGGGACTTGGGTGGTGTCTTGTTGGCAGCTTTGGCAGGTTTGGCCTTGCTGTCAGCCATGTTGCTAGGGAAGAAGAAGAAGAAGAAGAAGAAGAAGAAAGAGGTCATTCTGCTCCTCACAGTCCATCTGTGTCCCTAGTTCTAGCTGTAGTATGTGGTACCAGGCAACAAGATATGTCAAGAGCTGAAGAGCACCCTCTCTGGGGGCTGGGACACCTCTGAGCTGACTGCCCAGCGGACACTATAGGTCCAGCTGTTGGGCCTGGCACTGATCTTGCCAGGCTGACAGATGCAGGCTCTGGGCAAAGGAGACAGGGTCTGACTCAGCAACAGTGGGTTCTACGTTGACCCCACCAGCTGCTTTTCCTCCTCCCTGGGCCTCACTTGCTGTGTGAGTGATTGCCTGAAAGGATGTTTGGGGTCTATAAAATGATGTCATCCTTAAGATCCAGGCCAGTCATACCATGCTTACTCTCCCTCAGATCTGAGCCTTCTGAAAGAGGCTGAGCTATACCCAGGGGTGGTAAGTGACCCTGGAGACACACAATAAGGCCTGCCCTACCTGGGATCCTAAAACATGTGGTTGGCCCTTGGGCTTAGAGGAGGGAACTCATAGGGAAGCAACCCTGAAGCATAGCCATAGTATTTGGTTTTTGTGGGTTGCTGACTACCAAGACAGGCAGCCCTTCTGAGGGCTAAGAAGACCTAGGAGGGGGTATCACCTCCCAGCAAGACTAGGGAGCACAAAGATATGCAGATGTTGTTCCATCATGGCCATTGTTGTTCCAGCAAGGGTGGGCACATGCCATTTCCAGCTCATGGAGTAGGGATGATGAGCTAGCTCCCAGTTAGAATATTTCTGAGAGCTTAACAGCTCCATGCAAGGAGAAGAACTCCATAGAGGGTCAGTGGCAAAACTAAAATGTGCAGACCCCATCCAAACTGGAGATCCCAGCATCAATGTGACCAAGGCATATCTTCACCACTAAGAGATGAGAAATGTGGCCCCTCCTGAACTCATGATGGTATGAGTTCCGTGAACAGACAGAATAGCACAGATGACATTCATTCATAGGTCCAGGTCCCCTTCTTGCTCAGCCCCTTTGAAAATGGTAATCAAAGTATAACAGAAAAAATTCAGCCTTTTTAATGAGAGACTCTTCTTAAGGCACTCCAATTCACCCCAAAATGGAGCTTCTTGGGGGGCTAAAACAGGGAAGATGAGGACAGCAAGGTTAAATGGGAAGCTCTATCAGAGTGTGAAGCTTAGGAGTTCCTGCAACCCCACAAGACATGACTCATAGAGTTGGTGAACCAACTCTATGCACCTGGTAGATTATCTGCGCTTCTTCCCTGGACCTGCACAGGATACAGAAACATGAGAGGGGCTCTGCCCTTCTGAGTACTGCAGGACAAAAAGGCAGGTCAGATCCTGGCAAGCAACAAATTCAAACCAAGCCAAAGAACTGTGAGCAAAACAGCAGCCGGGTAATGGCACATTAGGAGTGAGGGCATATGTCTCACACTGATATGGCCACTCCTCATCTTAGACAGGTGCCAGCTGTGTTCCATCCAGGTTTCTACAGCACATTGGCCCCAAACATCGTGAACAGGAACCAGGGTGGAGATGGTCCTCATGGGAAGGAATCAGAAGCACAGGGGTAGAGGATGGCCCTCACTCACAGTCCCACATCCGGGGGATCGGGGATAGCAGAGGGAGCTCAGAGAACTTATTAGTTGCTGTGACAGTCTAGGAAGATGAGTGATCATCACTCAGGAGTCAGGGCAGCAGTGCAGGCTGAAAGGCATCTGCACAGAACAATCAATCAGAGGCTGAAGTAACATCCAAGTTGCTGCCAGTCTGGAAAGCAGAGCCCGTCTAAACTCAGCCTTGGAATAAGTCAGCCTGGAGCTTTTTTGGACCCTGTGGCAGAGCAGCTGACATCTATGGCTTCACCGAGTAGCTGACAGCATGGACACACTATTTTAAAGCTCTAGTGCCAAGATTTCTCAGCAGGATCAGCCCAGTATGAGACGTACTTAGCAACCACTGAAGGGCACCAGCAACACACTTATACAAAGGGTAGGCCGAAATGGGAGGGTTGAGACCCTTCCCTGGGTGATGCTCAGGGTGCATCATGGGGACTGCAGTCCAGACTCTACTTCCATCTTTGTTTTACCCTGAACATATATAACCTGCACAGCATATCATAAAAGGTTTTTAAAATAAAAATAACAGTGGCTGTACAAAGGCCACTAAACTATTACTTGTTCTATGACTATCAAAGCATACCCAGGAGTAGGCTTTGAGGGCAGAGGGCTCTTATCCACAGGCTGTCATTTCTAGTGTGAACTGCTCCATTAGCTCCCAATGGCAGCAGTGAGAAAACACTGAATCTAAAGAGAATTGAGGCTGCACCCAAGGTATCCTGGAGTATGGAGGTACCTAGGCCTAATTCTCCCCTTCACTCCTCTAGAGTTGTAGGAGAGCAAAAGAGAATTGAGGCTGCACCCAAGGTATCCTGGAGTATGGAGGTACCTACAGGCCTAATTCTCCCCTTCACTCCTCCAGAGTTGTAGGATAGCCAGCTGCAGCCTCTTCCCACCTCCATTCAAAGGCCCTGGCCTCCTAGTTGCATCTGAGGGACACTTTATAGAAACCTTGGTGTGTCCCACCATGCCGCTACAATTTCCATCAGGGAAGTAAGGCCCATTTAGATGGTACCTGATCCATCAATTGTGGTGATAAAGGGACAATCTCTAGAGTATACTCTGCACTTCCAAGGTGTGAGTTCTACACCTCAAGGAAGGATCCTTGATATGCATTGTAACCCCAGGATATGCCTTATAACCCTTTCCTGATAGCCTATAATTCATCGTTTCTCAGCCAGAAGGAATGTATCCCAAACTTCATCCTATCAGCACAGCATGTGGCCCTTACTGGACCAGCCTCCTTCAGCGGTGATTGCCCTGGGAGCCAAGAAAGCAGGTGTGGTGGAGGAGGGGAATGGCGCCAGCTGGTGACCCAGCAATGACTGCTTATGTTCCCTGGGGGGGTCAGGAGGACAGGAGATGGTAATGTATCCACAGCAGCACTGAGTGTGGGGACAGACTATGTTACCAGATTTGCATCTTCAGACCAGGCCTGAGGAGGGCAAGAGAGGCCAGCTACAGGTAGAATTACAGATCTTCAGTGGTAGGGAACATGGGCAGATGCCAGAGACTGGGTTTTCTGCAAACGCTGAAGACCCCTTTAGCTCAGGCAGGTTTTCTTGCATCCTATATGCCCCAAATCTTCCTTTCCAACTCCAAAGGATTGAGTTGTTCCCAACCAAGCCCATAGGAAATCAATTGGACCCCATTTTTCAGAATGAAAAATACTGAAGCAAATTCTTAACAAAATAAAATAAAACAAACCAATTTTTTTTAAAGAAAAAATATAGCAGTAGGTTTGGGAAAGAGGAAATGAATTTGATTCCTAGAACCCATGCTTTAAAAAAAAAATCAACTATGTTCCAGTGGCACACGCCTTTAATCCCAGCACTAGGGAAGTAGAAGCAGCAGCATCTCTGTGAGTTCGAGGCCTCCTGGTCTACAAAGCTACATAGAGAAACCCTGTCTCAAAAACCAAACCAAACCAAGCAAATAATCATGGTGGTTTGTACTTATAATACCCCTATACATTAGGGAGATGGAGACAGAGCAATAGCCAGCAAGCCGAGCCTAATTAGTGAGTTCTGAGAAATGACAGTGAGGTTGTTTTCTGGATGCCCACAGACACACAGATACAAACACACACACACACACACACCCACACACACACACACACACACACCCACACACACACACACACACACACACACATATACCACCATCATCAAAACAAGAAAAAACCTAAAGGTGACAAAGGAGAGACTTTGTCACCAAGATTCATACCTTGGGGCACAGCCCCGTTACAGGAGAAATGGAAATGAGGGAGTTGGTAAGTTGTCTGTAAGCAGGGAAAGGAATCTATTACTACAACCAGATGCCTACAACCAGGACAAGGTGCCTGCGAGCAGAGAAGGCATCTGTGAATGTGACAAGTGTCCACGAATAAGACACATGCCACTCAGTCCCTGACTACCAGCCAAGTGATTCTCAGCTCCGCAGGCCTCATCAGTGAAAGTGAGCCCAGGGACAGCCAACTAGCAAGACTGGGCCCTGAAATTCAAGAGACAGAGAGAGAAGTCTGTCTAAGATGAGGAGACGAAATGGACAGCATCCACTTGGATGCTCACTTCCTCCACACTACATCCCACCAAGGTTTGAGTCCTGTGGGACCCCATGTAAAAACAGGGTGAGGCTGACTGTGTGGGATCTAGACACATCCGACCAGACATAGAGAGTGCTCATTTGAGGATGGGACACAGGCAGCCTGCCATGTACAAGCTCTGTACTTTAGAGTGTACTTACACACAACACATCCTTTGATAATTGTTTGTTTCATTGATAATACAACCACACACCCTGCTCCTCATCAGGATACTCCATGTGAATGGCCTCTTATCTCAATGGGGACCGCCACCCCTTGCAAAGTGAACTCACACAAAGTGGGCATTTTCTAAATGTGTGTATCCTGCAGGCACACACAGGCAATACCAGAAGCTCAAATCTATCAGGAAACCCAGTCTTGTCACCCATGCCACATCTACACAGTGCATTCAGAAGCCTACAGACCAGAGTAAGACTAGGGTTGACCAGGATGGGACTCAGTCTCAGTCACTATTGGGGTCCGAAGACCAGGATGATCTACAGGGTGATCTGAGAACCAAACCCTGGGCTTTTCACTGTTTCTAGGTCAAACAGAACACAATTCTCCTGGGCATTGTAGGGAAAGGGGAGCCCAGTATCCATGCCCGTCTGAGCTTGGCTGTAGGCAGAGCAGAACTACATGCTCCAGAAAACTCCATACTTAAGTTAGGAGATGGGAATCCTGGGCAAGAAGACTGGGAAACCAAGGAAGGTAGGAAACTGAAGAAAGTCCTAGACCCCTCCAGCCACCTACATCCTGCTTTGTA